ACAGTTATTTATTGATTGAATAAGTGAAAAATATTGAGTGCAATGTTTATGGTTGTTTAAGTGTGCAAAAGAAGCAAAGATTTAAATGCATGAACAGTGCAAGAAGCTTAGTGATAACACCGCTCTCATTAATAACAGTGCTCATTAATAACTGATATTATTGCTAAGCCTGCTGTAAGTTCATTCTAAACTTTATTAAGTAAATACTTGCATTACTTTCTCCATTTTTTCAAAAGCAGCAGAAACTGCCAACTCATTTATTATGTCAGTTCTAAAATGGCAATACAGATCAATCAATACGCAGAGCATATTTGGTTTATGAGCACTTGAGGCTGACGGCCTCTGGTCTCTTTTTTGAAAGTTAGTTCTGCTCTGGGTTTTTGGTCTCCGGCGAATGGCTTCAAGATGACCTCAGTGTAATTGCTTCCTTTCGATCAATGCATTCGATTCGAAGTCGTAACATTCATTATCTCACACTGAAAACATCTCATAATCATCTCCTAAAATTAACAAGTTAATAAAGAACTTATAAAAAGAAATAAAATACAAACTAATATAAAATTTTAAAAAAAGAAATAAAATATAAATTAATATAAAATTTAAATAAGAAATAAAATATAAATTAATATAAAATTTAAATAAGAAATAAATTATAAAAATTAATAACAAATTTAAATAAGGAATAAAATATAAATTAATGAAAAATTTAAATAAGAAATAAAATACAAACTAATATAAAATTAAAAAAAAAGAAATAAAATATAACTTAATATAAAATCTAAAAAGAAACTTTTTATTTTAACAACGAACGTAAAAATGGAACTTACTGCTTTCTGATTGTTTAATCCTGAGCACAGTTAAAAATATTTATTTTCAGAATAGAAATATTATTGCTAAAGTTTAGTTTCAGTAATAAAATGTAATTGTCTGAAAAACGTTCGCTATACAATGCAAGCGTTAATTATTTAATTAAAGCAATAAATTGATCGAAGCTTAATTTTATTTAAAATTAATATATTTAATATTTAATTCAAACTTGTTTTCGATTTAATCTCACTCATTTTTTATACTACTATTAGAACTTTAATTCAAATAAAAATTTGAATAAAATATAAAAGAAATTATAAAATTATTTTTCAATGACAAAAAATTTGCTAGCAAATTTGCACATAATTAAACATGCAAGAATACAAAGATGTAAATGCTCGATGTAATTTTAAAACTGAAATGAAATGAAATTGGATTAAAAGTTTTGAAGTTCCAATCAACAAAATTGCATTAAAGTAAACAATGCTATTAAACTAGATCTAAAATTAAATTAGGTTCAATTTTAATATTGAATTAAATTTAAGATTTATTCATTAAATTATTCAAAAAAAAAAATTAACTATAATTGAATAATTAACAAATTTTGGCTTGTTCACTTCAAAATGCAATGCAATCCAAGTTTGAATTCACAACAAAAATGGAAGATTAACTTTAGACTTTAATAACAAAAAATTTACATAAAAGCGAAATATAAGTGTTTAAATTAGAATTTTAAATTAGTGACATTAAGTTTGTATTTAATTTTTTCTCAGTTTTTGAAGATTTCAGAAATTCAAAGCTATAAACAAAAGTTGGACTTCATCAAGCAAATGAGAAATAAGACATTGTACTGAGTTTATGCTGCTAAATGCTTTCTTTATATTTGAATTAGTCAAATGACTACTTGGCATTTTTAAATTCAAATTCAAATTTTTTATAAAAATTTTTGAAACAATTTCGCATATTTATCAAATGACAAGTCATTTCATGCAGTAGTTATAACAATTTAAGATTTTTAAGAATTAAAATTACTAATTTTAAACAAAAGAGCAAAAGCCACAAAAAAAGTTTTATTTTATCAACTTTTTTATACTACTACTAGAACTTTAATTCAAATAAAAATTCGAATAAAATATAAAAGATATTATAAAATTATTTTTAAATGACAAAAAAAACATTGATTTGTAATCAAAAGTATGCAGTGTTTTTTCTGGTCAGTAAAAGATGGCAATATGCAAATTAAGTGATTTGTGAAAACATTGTTGCGCAATTATGTCATCCTTATCACTTTAATTAACTTTCTGCTGGATGTAACTGACAACTTGAAGTGCTTTCTGGTCATTTTTAATGTGGGATACCGGCAATCAGAAGGTCATTCCATGTTCATCTGGCAATGATCTGTTCACTGTAATCACATCAAACAAAATATAAAAGCACCAAAGGATCGGAGCTGTGCGAAAAACTCTTCAGAGTTTCCCAAATTTCTTTTTCTTTTCTATCCAAATCATTTCAAATTTTTTAGCAACTGAATTAAGTTTACTATAAAGTTTCTAATAAGCTTAATTACTAAAACTTTATTAATATATTTAAAAATTTTTTAAAACCAAAAATATGTTGTTCATTTGGCTCGTTTGTGTGTATTCGCTAAAAATTGACCTCAAATTTGTTTTATTTAAATTGATTAATTACTTTTACTTTTAGAAATTCATTTTTTCATTCTTTCACAAATAATTTTGTTAGTATTTCAAAAAATATTGAAAATAATTAATTTGTGAGAAAATTTTGACAAAACCAATCAAAAGTAGTAAAAATTTTGCATAATTTTGTAATTTATGTAGAAAGCTTTATGTTATTCAATCTTTTATCCACTTTTATAGCAAAAATATAGAAGTTTTTTGCATTATTAGCATGAGTTAAATAATTGTGAGCAAAAAAAAAAAGCTACAGTAATCAAATAATGGAAATATAAAATTGCTGTAATTTAAGTTCTTTTCCTTTTCGTCAAATGTTTTAGCTTTTTTAAACCACCAAAATTAATCCTGCAGTATTTGTATTGCGTTATGTTATTTAAGCTTTTATCCACTTTTATCACAAAAATGTAGTACTTTCTTGCTTTACTGGTATAAATTAAATAACTTTGAACCAAAAAAAATTACAATAATCAAATAATCGAAACATAAAATTACTGTAAGTTAAGTTCTTTTCTTTTTTGTCGAATTGGCTTTCTTAGATTAGCAAAATTAATCTTGTGAATATTTGTAGTTTGGAATGGTGTGTGTGTGTGTGTGTGTGTGTAGTGAAGGCAAAATGCTATCAATGAGCGATGAGTGTTGTATTCAGAAAGTGAGAGCATTCAGGTTGCTTTGCTTTGCTTTGGATTCAGAAGATGAAATGGAAGTTTATGTGAATCGAAGTTGTTCAGAAAGTGAGAAGATATACTCACTCACTCGATTCATTGAGTAATGAAGTAGAGTGTGATATTTGAAAGAGATTAACAGAGTGATATCCGGTAAAATAACAGATGTCAGTCAAATGGTTTCTTAGATGAGATGGTGTGCAGTTATGCAGTTACTTACTTACTTCCTTACTTGTAGACGGTTAAACAAACAGTTAGCAAGTGATGCCTGAGGAGGACTAAGTCTCTCAGTGAAACAAAAGTAGCAGACGATAAAGGAAATACCATTTATGTAGTTAATCTGACAGTTGGCGGGCTCTGTCCGAGCACAAAGTGGGCGGTCTGGGGAAAAAGCATGAGGCCATATCGGCCTGTCAGATAATACTATTGCTGTCGATTGTGAACGTAACAGTTTGTGACTGGATCATGTCTGCTGACTACAAAGTCGTCTTGGTACTTACAAAGTGGCAAAGGTCAGACCAACCCATTCATTACATCGGAATACCAGTGTCGTAGTAAGTTAATCAAGCAATAGTAGGTTCTGTCCGAGCAGGATAAGGTTGTCTTCAAAATATCTCTGAGATTAGATTGACCCATCAGATAGCAACACCATTCTTGTAGCTAACTTAACTGCTAGTTGGTCTATCTGTAGTAAGTCTGATTTGTGCATTGCATGCATTGACTCATTGCTCTTTTTTTTTAAATATACCCTTTAATCACTGCCACTATTTTGGAAAATATTTTCACGTTTTTAACGTGTCAACTTACTAGACAAAAATTCTTGACCAAACTATATTCTATTAAACTAATACTGATAGAACTCATTGTTATATAACAGTTTATGCAGTTATTAATTTTTGCGTCATCGATCGTATTTTTCAAAGCATGTCGCATTCAAAGAAAATTTTTTAGTCCTTTTCGATACTACAATTTAAAAATAGGGTCCTGAATATAATTTTCTTAAATATCTCCAAAACTTCTGACGCGTACGTGTGAGTACGAGACAACGCTTGGTCATTCATATCTCTCAACGTTGCTAGTCTGCTATACGGATTCACTGAAATTGAACTTGCAGCGCTTAATCTGAAAAAATGCATCGTACTCTCACGCGCAAAGCCTAAAAAACGCGCTATGCTTAACTTTATTTTCGGTCTCATATTATTTACTATTATTGCGTCATCATAAATTCGCGCCCCTTTTAAATGCTAGAATTTCCCGCATGACTCTTATGCTTAATTAATTAATTAATTTTTCATAATATTTGCGTGGATAAGCGCGTAAATTCACGCGTGGATTCACGTTTAACTAATTAATTTTTTATTGAAATATACATTTGTAAATTGTACAGTTTTTACAATTAATAAATGACACCATTTTTAATAATTTCAATTTTTAAAAATAAAAAAATCTATGATGACTTTTTTGTTTAGCAAAGTGATTATCAAATTTTATTTGTTTGCTGCTTGTCGTCTATTACAAGTTTGAATTGTGTATAAATAAATGTAAAAAATTTTCGTGTTTATAATTAATGATAATTAGTTATCAGCTACTACTTTCGATCAGTCAGTCAATCGGTTTCGCAGACTATTATATACGGTTTGGATATTATCTATAACGCTACATATTATCTATAACGCTACATATTCTCTATAACGCTTTTCGTGAAGCAGCGAACTCGTTCCGAATTCAAATAACCATCGAGAAGTGACACGCCAATCAGATAGGTGTCTGTCTATTCTACATCTTCCATTTATATTAATTCTGTTGGCATTCAGTGACAACACTGTAGCATAGTTACATGGAAAAGTCACTGAATCCACAGATTTGGAAACCACAAGAAGCTTCAATATCTCCGGGACCTTCTAGGTGAGTAATGATATGTTTTTTAATATAGTTATAATTTGATTTGATAGCAAACGGGTCATAGACCCTGTGGCCTAATGGATAAGGCGTCTGACTTCTAATCAGAAGACTGCAGGTTCGACCCCTGCCAGGGTCGATTTACCCATTTAATCAAAATGTTAGTATGACTATGGTTTGATTGGGCAGTTTTTCTCTTATTACATGCTATTGTGATGATTTAAAGCATAATATATCTTACATAATAAAGTCGCACAACATTTTTCTACAAAAGGTGTTTATTGCAGTCAACAGAAGTTAACGTTCATTGGTACACATATCTTTAAGTACTTTCGCACGTGGATTCAGTTGACAAAGGACTTTGTGAAATTCGACCTTTGCTATGATCTCAATCAGGCTAGCGGCAATATATCCATTGTCCATAACGACGGGGTAATTTATAAGAATACTTTCAAGTTTGAATCATTAATGCTTTTTACAAATTTCGTTTTATTTTGAAAAATTTTTCAAACATGACTTTTGTGTTAGCTAAAAGACACATTAAACTAAAGTAACTTCAAAATTAGTGACATCAAAAATACACTTTTCATTTAATTAAGAATGAAAAGTAAAGCAAATATTTTTTACTTTCTTACTTTGAGAGCAACAATCTTTAAAACTTAACCTTTCAAATTATTCATTTTCAATAATGTTGATAACAATTGCAGCGTGTCATTAAAACACTGCAGATCAGTCCAGACCTGCATGTAATTAGATCGGCTGATACATTCATGTACGCATTCATATCACGTACTAGAGAGCCTAAAGTATACGGATTTGGTTTCTTGCGAAGTGAAGATCTTGATGAGGTAATCATTCTGCATAAATATCATTAATCAATCAATTGATTAATACATATGGAGCATTTTAATATGCTATATTATGTTGTTAATACTTTGCTATATATGGTTATGTAAAAGTGTGATAATTTATTTAAAAAACTATTCATAAACAATATTGGCAAGAATCTAAATGTTTGTTTCAGAAATATTGACTTTTTGAGCGAAATTCCAACTCACTAATTGACAGTCAAAAAGCTGTAACCCTTATTTGAATATTACTTTTATCTTATTTGTATCATTAATTATTAAGTTTTCGTTTAAGTATTAAATGGTTAATTACAATTTTATTGCTTACAGTTCTTCTCGCACTACAATACTGTTTTTTGGACTATATCCAGTAAATCAGCAACTCAAATTGACGTGAATCAAAGCGACGTCTCTGATACCTCAGTGAATGGTAAATTTAGTATTGCTGAATTGTTAACTAAGTCTGATCCAACTTATGAAGCTGATTTTGGCTGTTTATTAACAAATGAATTGACAATTCAAAAATCAAAATTATGATTTCATGATTATGATTACAATTTTTTAGAATTACAGTATATATTTCCATTAAAAACTTTCAGAAGGAGATGCGGAATCCAGTACTTTAAGCGATTCACAAACATTCCCATGGTGTGAGCAGATACCTAATCTTTACTGTTACAATTTTGAGCAGCAGCAAACAGAAGGCGCAACATCTTCATTTGCTCGTAGTCAATTATTTGATCAGCCTTGGTTTGAGCATTTCGTAGATTCCTGTTTAAATGTTGCTCGACAACAAATGGAAAGATCATTTCTTTTTGAAGTAAGTTTGATAAGTTCGAATTGCTTACTTAGTTTGATACAAAGTACTTTCCTAATCGTTGTAAAATAATTAACAAATAAAGTGGAAACTCTTTTGACTACTGTTCACGTTTGAATTGAATTATTTGATCAGACATATTTATTACTAAATTTTCAAAAATTATCCTTGCCCTTTCAAACGTTGTATTCGAAGTTATTTTTTTACTTTATTGTAATTTTTAAAAGTATCTTATACGCCACATTCAGCTTTCAAAATTTTAGACTCGCCATATGCTACTGGATTCTGAAAGTGCAAAAGACAAATCAGTGGATGTAGACAAAAGTGAGTCTGATAAAAAACCTGATCAGGAAGACAACAGTTTACACGAAGATAATAAATTAGATAAAAACGACTTACACAAAGTAAGCAATATAAAGGATGACGGATTAGATTCAATGAAAGAGAGTCTAGCTGGGAGCAAGGATGATAAAGAACTTGATCAAGAGAAAGAAGGCCTACTCGATCCAGGCAAAAACGATGATAACAAATCTGAACAAAACAAGGACAATCTACCTGGCACAGATATTAACAATGATCACGCATTAGATCTAAAGAAAGACGGAGGGTTAACAGATAATAAAAAGCTCGATGGAGATAAAGCGAGCCTAATCGATCCAGGCACTACTGGTGACAGCAAATTTGATCAAAGCAAAGATAGCCTATGTGACCTCGGGATTAACAATGATGATAGCATTGATCAAAATAAAAACGAATTATATAAATCAAGATGTAGCAGTGATAATCGATTAGATCAAAAGAAGGGCAGCCTACCTGGAAGTGGTGGTGATATGTCACCACGTCAAGAAAAAGGTCTGCTCAATCCAGGCAAGGTCGATGATAATAAATTTCATCAAAACAAGAACAGCCTACGTGGCCTAGGCATTAATAGTGATAGCGAATTTGACCAAAATAAGGAGAGCTTACAGATGCCAGGCACTAGAGATGATAATAGTTTTGATCAAAAGAATGGCAGCCTAAAAGATCTGAGTGATAATAAAAATAATGAATTTGGTCAAAAAAAGGGCAGCCTACACGATCTAGGCGGTAACGATGATAATAAATTTGATCAAAACAAGGACAGCCTGCGTGACCTGGGCACCAGTAGTGATGACAAATTTGACCAAATTATGGAGGGAGTACGCAAACCAGGCACAAGCGATGATTGTATATTTGATCAAAAGATCGTCGAGCCAGGCAGTTGTGTTGGCGACAGATTTGGTAAGAAACAGGATAGCAGCTCACGTGATACAAGCAGCTACATTTTTGGTGAAGATAAAAATGCTCAAGAATCAGAAACTGAAGCAGCAGGTAATGAGTGATATGTTTGAGGTATCTTTAACTTATTGGTATTAAGAACGTTTAAAAATTGTATTTTTCCATACTGTATGATTTTTTTTGCTTGTATGCATGTAACAGCTTTTTCAGTCCTGAGAAACTAGAGAACGTGAAAATTTGCATTATTTTTCTATTCATGTTTAGCCCGTTAAGGTCAGCATTTGTGAGAATTCTTAGAAGTTTGAGTACTTGAAGAAACCCTCTCTGATTTCATAAATGAGATGATCAGTTATACTCAGATTTTATATCTCGCTTTATTTCAAACTCTAGTCCAAGCTTTACTTTAGGTCGTAGTGAATTTCCTGAACAAGGAGTTTATAATCTTTGGAGCGATCCACCAAGGATTATTCCGTTTTATGAGGTGATTAGGTTTCCAAATTTTCAATGGAAATCGATTTTTGATTAAGGCAAAATAAATTATGTATATATCGTGATTATTATTTTTTATTGACTTCCAGTAGATTCTGTTAGTATTATTGTTTAGCTGAGAGTTGTTGTGTTGTTAAATTGTTTTTGAAATTTATTTTTACATGAAGAAAATTACTAACAGATTTTGCTGCCTTTATTTATATTCTGCCTTTATTTATATTGTCTTTAAATTGTTTTTGTATAATTTTTAATATTGCTAAATCAATTTAATATTTCAATTATGCTTAATATCATATTATTCTGAAGCAGAAGTGTTTTTTTAATGTATCAGAACATTGTTTCTCTTTTTATATATAGTAATCTTTCAAGTCTTATAATAATGTTTCAAGTCTGTATAATAATGTTTCTGATCTCATCTGTGGAATGGAATGATAAATGATATTAATGCAAGTATAGAAATGTGAAGCCTTATTGCGAATTCAGGTACATTTTTTTGTATTGTTTGGTGTGTGTATATTATTGTACCTTAATTATTATTGTGCAATTGAAAAATAAATTCAATAAGGCATTCCTTGTTGTTTGCATCATATCGTTCTCCAAGTATCAAAAAAAATGCAGTCTTATTTTTGCATCATAACAAATTATCATCTTATGAGTACAAAGGATGCATAAGAAATCGCTGAAGGCTCTAATTTTATGATGGTAGTAGGTTACAGGAGTTCTTATGTCACGATCATAAATACCTGTAGTAAGTGAAGCTAATAAATTTGCTACGGATATGATAAGTGATAAGGAAGAAATAGATTCATCCAGAGCTAAATAATAGATAAAGTCTGAAAAGTTACCTCGAAAGATGTTAACTTTCATTACTGCAAAAGTAATGTGCTAATAGTTGGGATGATGGAGAATTGAATAGAATAGTACTTGGATTGAATCAAAAACAATACTTGGAATAGATCAGAAAGTGTGATAAATAAAGTGGACATGATTTTGCTATGTTATCAGTAAATTATTGCTCAAATACGATAATAATTTTGAGTTGTAATGTAAGCATAAGAAAATGCTTACTTTACTTGTTGCTAAGTAACAGAAGTGAAAACTGCACATTGACTATTTTCTATTTTCTTCTACTTGCTTTTTAATTTTTAAATACAAAATAATGTACAGAACTGTAGTTTAAAAAGTTTTCAAACATAATTACAGAGTATTAAATCTAAAAACATGTTCTAGAGTTCTGATTGAGAAGTAAAAGTAAGATTCTAGAGTTCTGATTAAGAAGTAAAAGTACGATATTACTACCAAAGAAAGATTTAACAGCAATCAATCATTTGCTCCACAAATTAATATTCAAAATGATAATGCAATAAATAATTAAGTATGACTAATTACTTGAATCACATATAATCTTCAGAATCGAAAAATTAAATTTTAGATTGCAGTGATTGAAGTTACTTCCTAGAAATATTATGTCAAAAAAAAGTAGTACAACAAATAATATTATCGTGTACAATTTCTCATCTTTGAAGTTATGCTATATACATATATATATATGTATATATATATATACGGAACGCTACTTCAAGACTAGAATTAAGTGGAATTAATTCTGTTAAGAAGTAAAATTTGATTAAAATTAAAAGTTAATGGAGTGAATTTGGTTTAAAATTAAAAGTTAACGGAGTGAACTAAAAAAGTTAACATTTTTAAAAATTTGAATTTTAGTGATCTGAATTTGAATGGCGGGGAAATCACAAAATGAAGTGGGAAAGATGGTAGATTTAAAAGTGTACTGCAGTGTATTTTATTATCTTCGAGAAGGATATTATGGCACTGCTCAGAGAATATGCGAGCAAGAATTGAGTATAAAAGATAATTCGCAAGAGTTGATATTATTTCGATCAATTTCTCTTCTTAAACTTGGTAAGTTATTTATGTATTTATTTTAAGAATTTTTAAGCTTATTTTTGTCACTATTTTTGCAATAAAATGTAAAATGTAATCATAAAAATGCATATTTTTGTTTGGATATTGCAGAAATCGTTTTGAATTTAAGGTAATCACGTGGAAGTAACACGTTCGCTTCATTTTTTACGTCAAGATTCTGTAATTGGCTTTGCTGCTTCCGTAGTACTTCGATACGCTCACACTTCAATAAAAAATACAGGCTCATTTTATCAAATATTATCAAAATATCATTTTAAATTTCGTACATAATTAATCACTAGTAGGTAGTACTGTTGCAAATTGTCATGGAATAAATACTCTGCGAAAATCTTTTACTTCAATTAATGTTTGATAGTATGCAACTGTGGCAATGTTATTATTAGTTAATTAAAGCTGAGACTTTAATTATATGCTCAATTTAGGATAATTATGTAGAAGTGATGATGATTCATTTAGATCAAGAAGAGATTAATGCATTAGATCAAATAATTAATCAAGCGTGGAGTAGTGCTAGTGAAAAAGCATGTTATCATGCAGCGGTCACTTATATGTTGCTCGGAAACAACGCAAAAGCATGTGATCTAGTTGAGAAGTTTGCTGATTCAAGTGATATTCAAGCAAGTTACTTTACTTTTACTTTGCTTCTTGTACTTGTAAACTGTTTGAATTAATTAATTTACTCTACCTACAGTCATTATTTGAATGCAGTTGCAACACTGAATGATTTTCAGTTTGTTGTTCTTCAAGGATTTCTTGAACTTTATCGTCAGGAAAATATAAACAAGGCGCAGAAATTATTCAAAAAAGGCGTTTCAGAAGGTCTTTTCTTTAAAATCTTTAAATTGCAAACAAAATGTCCAGTAGTTTTTTTCGTTCTTCAATAACGAAATTGAATTTTTATCTCTTCCCAGTTTTCATTAAATATTGTTTTTAATGCTATTATTTTTAATTGACTTGAAAATTGTTCAAATTTATTGAAATTGCTGTAATCTGAATAGATCTGAGAATAATTTGTTCAATTTGGATTGCATTCTAGGATATCCATGTGCGTTTACTGGATTAGCCTGTGTACTAGAAAAGCGCAAAAACTTTACGGATTTACGAGAAGTTCTCCACAATTTTATGATAAAAAATCCAACGTACCTTCCGGTTTACATTGAATCCTGCAAAGCTCTTCTCATCGATCGAAACTGGGAACTTTGTATGGAAGAAGTTCAACGTACTTTACTTGTTCAGGTATTTTTTCGATTTCAGAATTTTATCATAATGTGAAATCATCACTTTTTAGAATTTTTTTTCTTCAAAATCACAGTTGTATTTTTAAACATTTTAATTATACAAGTTCTTGCGTAAGTAAGCATAATTTTTATATAATATCTTGCGTAAGTAAGCATAATTTTTAAGTCATACTTGATTATTTTACTGCTTAAATAATAGTTAAGTGATAGTTTTCCATTTCTGGTAATATCATTAACGAATTAGTGATAATTTAGAGTGATTGTTTGCAAATTGTGTGTTTGCAAGTAATTTACGAAGTGATAGTGAAAGGTGACATAAAAATGGTTGAAAATGTTTTGCAAGAATTGACCACCGCAATAACAAACAATGAACCTAAATCTCATCAAATACATTTTAAAATTGCACAACTTCTTATTCGAATTGCTCCATTAGATCATCCAGTAGCTGTATTTGGCAAGTAAGTTTTGCAGTTAATTTATTTAAATACTCAACAGCATTGATGGGTATTGTTTTAGTAATCATTTGTTTTATTATTAATCATTTGAGCTAATTTATACTATTGAACCATTTCTATTTGCTACTTAACTATATATAAAAGGAATCTGTTGGATGGAGCAATTTCAATTGAACAAAATCCAGAATATTTGGGTGAAAAGGTTCAAATGCTTATTCGAGCTGAAGACTTCAAAACTGCTGAAGCAATTACTTTTGATGCATTAAAAAATAATGATACGATACCTGATGCGCAATTGTTAATTAGTAATCACTTATTAATTTTTCTTATAACTTTTTAAAATTTATTATTAACTCTAAAACTTTGCTAATTTAATTTGTAAATTATACAGGTGTTACACAATGTTTTATCGCTAACAATCGTTTGGAAGATGCAATAGCTCAAATGCAGTTTGTGGAAGCAGCACATCCAGAAATAACTAATGCTAGTGTGAGCATAGAATTAATTGTAATTTAGCAGAATTTAAATATTTATTAAAATTTTTTGTATTAGAATTGTCATTTGTTGGTATTAAATTTGCGTTAAACTAACGAAAATTTTAGCTTTACATGTATTTAATGGCTGTATTGGATAGCAAACAACAAAAATCTTTTCAAGAATTTTTCACAAAAGTGAAAAAAGCAATAGACATGCATTTCTCAGCTTTACAGGTATCAACTAATCTGTTTATTTCCTGAAAGTTAATCATATAATTTATTAGGAGGTACTGTATTTTGCATTTATGATAACTAACTTTTTCAAGTTTTTCAAGCATTATTTTAAGTGTTATCTCAATTTTTTGTCTAATTTATACTTTATATTCAGACAAAATTGACTTTTTCGATCATTAACTAGCATATCTGATTGGAAAATCTGTACAAATATTCGAAATTGCATTTTTTTTGTCTGATGTAAATAACTGTTATTTTTATTATGCTACAGGAAATATTCACATCACGTATAAGATACTTCTTATACGTATAAGAAGTATCTTATACGTGATGTGAAGTCTAGATTTTTCAGAGCACTATATTTAGTTTTGACTACTTGACTTTGTTAAATGTCAACTTTTTGACTGAAGTCGTATTACAACTCTATGAATACGCTCCATTCACGGTGAGCAATATTTTGCAGTTTGAATAGTTTGAAACGATTGTTTTTAAGTCTACGTTTGTTTCTGAGCAAATTACTATAATCAAATGAATTCTTGTTGGTGCTCTTCTGCTATATCCTTAAGTGTAATCAAAGAAAAAAATTTATTGATGTGTATTTATAAAATAATATTCAGCCGTCAAATTCTACAAGTGACGTTTTGAATGAAATTGACAGAATCCTTACATTGGTGCATGATTGTTGCCCAGGTAACTTGCTGTACTATTTTGTTCGTTTCTGTGTTATATTTTGTAATGCAGTATTTGCTTGAGGTGAAAATCACACATTCTCAAATTACTTATTTCATTTTTATCTTCGACTAAATGATATATTTCGTTTAAATTGCATACATTCTTTCTTTTTGTGCTTAGGCTGTTTTGGCTATTGTATCATTTTAGGTAAAAATACATGAGATACTGTACTTGTATATTTTAGCATTATTATTCACAACATATCTCTTGGCTAAAGCAAAATATCTCGCGATGAATTTCGGAGCTGCAGAAAAATTGTTAAAAAATTGCACCGATTCAGAAAATGCTCCTTCAGAAGCTTACTTACTTCTAGCACAAGTATGCTTATCTTTCTGAAAATTATTCTTTACTGTACTAAATTTGCAGAAATTTTCATATTTCCTATCTGTTTTAGGTTCATATTCAAAAAAACCATTACGATGAAGCAAGCAGATGTTTAGATACTGGCCTTAGCTATAATTTCAAAGTTCGAGAGCATCCTTTGTATCATTTGATTAGAGCAAAATTACAAAAAAAATCGAATCAAATTGATGCATCGGTACAGACACTACAAAAAGCAATTAAACTACCATCTTTTAAAGCTTGTGAGATTATAATTTTAAACTAACTATTAATATTCAGTGCAAGTAGGTATCTGTCGAGTATATTAATTAATTAATTAATTAATTACTACCTTAAGAATGAAAAAAAATTTTTTTTAATGTAGGATTTTTATTTATGCGTTGCAAACAAAAAGACTGTTTTTGATTTTTGTAATCAAGTTTTGAAAATTATATCTTTTAAATATTATTTGAAAAAAAAAAGATTTCAAGATAACCGCTCAAAGAGACGTGAAAACCTAGAACTTATTGATGCAGATCGAATTGCTATTTATATAGAATTAATGGATTCTTACCAACAACTTGGACAACTTGTAAGCATTTTTTGTGTATGTGAATGAATGTAGTACAACTTTCAGTGTAAGGTTTAGGAGCTGAAGTTTAAGGCAGAAGCTGAGGAAGTATTAGGTGGTGCCCGAAAGGAGTGGGCTGGTAAAATGGAACAAGAAGAATTGCTATTAATGGAAGCAAATCTGAGATTACAACGCAGTGATGTTGACGGTGCTTTATCCGTTCTTGCATCTATTTCACCTTCACAAGCTAAGTACCAAACAGCTCGGATTAAAATGGCTGAAATTTATTTGCATCAGAAAAAGGATAAACAGAAATTTGCTGTTTGCTTTAGGTATTCATTTTCATCAATCAAATTTGTTATTCTTATTTAGAGTTATTTTAAATCATTAATTAATTTCAAGCTATTTTACAATATAATTGCTGCATAACTTATGCATATGCTTTTTAATTTGTCCACATTTATGTCATACTCATTTCAAAGTTGAGAAGTAATCCCAAACAAATTAAAAAACGAATATGAATTTGTTTTATTTTCAATTGCGATTCTAAGCACAGATGCTGTAATCTTTTGGAGATACAAAATAAAATAAAAAACACTCCTTACCACTAATTTTGAACTTTACTTTGAATTCATCAACATATGAAAATTTTTTTGACATAATTTGATATTTACTTTAATAAACTGATTACTCTATTATGTTTGATATTCTTCTTCGTAGATGTCAGAGTAATCTCTGTGAAGTTTCCAGGGAACTCGCGCAGAATAATCCTTCACCGATGGCTTACATATTACTTGGGGATGCCTACATGAGCATACAAGAAGTTCTATCTTAATAGTTTCAAAAAATTATCACATAAATCTATTTAAAAATTACCGTATTTTTCAGCCAGCGCGAGCAATTGAAGTTTTTGAAACAGCACTGAAGAAGAATCCAAAAGATGATGCATTAGCTGAAAAAATAGGCCAAGCATACGTTCAGTGTCATCTTTATACTAAAGTTTCTTAGTTTTGTTCTTAAGATATTATTACTTTCATAGACTAAAGTCATGAAGCGATAGATGGAACAGCTCTAAACAACTGCTTCAGTAGTGCAATTTAGCGAGATCAAATTTAGCATTCATGCTTATGATTTTAATAGCAATAAATTTTCTTTAGCGAAAAATGTGGGAATATGAGTTGATTTATTTCTATTCAAGTACAATATTGAGTTTCAGGCAGTTAATTACTATGAAGCAGCATTGAAAAGCGGACGAAGACCATTAATGAGAATGCGCCTGGCGGAACTATTATTTGAGCTAGGAAACTATGAAAAATGCGAAAAAGTCTTACGTCAAGAACTTGACGTGAATGCTGACACAATCGGTTAATTATCATTTTTACAGTCTTTTATGATTCTAAATTAAAGCTTCTCTCAACTTTTGTTTAATGATAACAAAGTATTTTGTTTTCACTGTGTAGTCATTCTAGATGGAAGTATGCTTAAGATATTTATTTACTTAAGTAGTTGAGGGTTAACACTGTTATAAATAAAAGAGTGTAAAGCCGTTTCAGATGTAGCTCGAATGAAGGATAACGTATCGTATTGGACTATTTTATCAAAGTTACATTTTGAAAAAGGCAACTGGCAAGAAGCAACAGCTGATTTGGTACATGCCCGAGAAATTCAGATGTCTATAATTTCAAAACCATCGAGTGAAATTGCAAATCTTGATGAAGAAAAAAAGCTTGCGGCAAGGTGTGTTTTTAAATTTTGAAGTTTAATGTTAAAATTTTAATATAGTTATCAAATTATATTTTATGAAATTTATATTAATTTGCAAATTATTGAAGAAGATAGTGAAGTTGGCTTTAGAAATTTTATTTATAGAAGGGGATTCTGATTTAAGTGTGAAAAACAGTACTTTACTTCCAGCTTATGTTGTCAGCTAGCAGAACTGTACTGGAATCGAAGGGACGCAGATAAAGCAATTGATATGTATAACGAAGCGATCTTCTTAAATAATACTGATATAAAAGTAAGAATAACTTAAGAGTAAAAGATATTGAAAGTCGGGAAAAAATTGAAAGTTCTATGGCATATCCTAAAATATTGTATTATATTAACTAAATACCAACACTAATTCTGTGAGAGTGTAAATTCAACTATAAAGCTTACATTTTTCAAATAATTATGCTTGTAAGCATCAGAAAAAGAAATGTTATAAAGTTAAGCTGCAAGTCGAAAATTAATTTCTTATTTTGTGTCACTTTCATTGTATAAATTTGATGTACAATTAACTACAGAAAGAATACAAAATTCAGACAATGACAACACTTGCGAATATACATCTTTCGCTGGGTAATTTGGATGCATGCAATGTGCACTGCCAGTTGATTCTCAACATTGACCAAAATAATGCTGATGCTACCATGGTAAATTGTGAGATTATGTTTGTTTTTAAAAAGTAAAAATGAAATAAAATAAACGAATGATCCTTTTTATTTTACCATATTTTTATAATAAGTGTAGTATTAGAAATGAGTTCTTGTTTGAGATGATGGCAGATTCATGGTATCAGTCCAACGAAACAGAAAAAGCAACGATTCATTTCACTAAATTTCTGGACAAAAATCCAAGTATAAACATTTTTCGATTTATTATTATTTTTCTAATCTTATCATTTGACAATTTAGAATGGCTATAGAGGAATTAAATTTTTAACTTCAACAACTGAATAAACTTCTTCCTTAGATTTTCGCTTAATCTAGCGTAATACAGATCAAACAAGAATGCTTAAAACTAACACTGAATAAAACTAGTATCCATATGCTTAGATCAATATCACGCACTTGCAAGATGTGTAGAATTAAGTTGGCGTGGAGGTAATATACAACAAGCGGAAAAATATTTAAAAAATGCTCTTGAAAATAAGCCACGAGCCGTTCTTGACGCTGGTTTTAACTACTGCAAAGGTCTTGATGAATGGTCAGTGAATGCTTACTTCAAATTAGTGCTTTAATATTTAAATATTCATTGTTACTTCGCTTGTGTTTAATTTATTATATCATATTATTTTTGCAAATGTAATGCACTTGTTAGTTTTAGGTATACGGGCCGACCAAATGCTGCACTACACTTGTTTAGTCAAGCAAGACGTGACCTAGAATGGGGTGAACGTGCTATTTATAATATGATTGAGATATGCTTGAGTCTTATTAATAAGATTACTGTATGTGATATGTATGAATATAACCAGCAGTCAAATGCGTTAGTTTTCAAACTTTCGTTGTGAAAACATTTATTTATAGTCAAAAGCATTAAAAATATGACAAGCGTTAATTTTATGCAAGAAAAAATTATATTTTGATTTCAGTACCAATGATAAAAGCGAACGAGAAAAGGGTAAAAGCATTGCGGAATGTTATTTTAAAGTAAGATCTTATTTAATTACGCTGTTTCCACCATCATATCATACATTTACTATTTCCATGCTTTTGTTGAACATGTCATCTGTTTCTTACAATTCTAAAAATTAATTTCTGAAAACGTTTCATCCATTACGTTAAACATCACGTGTAATTTTAAGAAATGATGCTCATCGTTTAAATTTTACTTTGCTTTGCTGAAATAATGTAAAAAAAAGTAAGTAGAGAATATTTGAGTGCCATAAGTATGTTATCACGAATCATCTTAAACTATCTGTTAGTAAATTGTGTTGCTGAACTTCTCGTTTCGTAAAGAGATTCCGAAATAAAAATACATCTTGCAGGAATTACAGTATAAACCAGGACTGGATTACAGATATCAGCTAATAGAAAATTTTATTTTGTTAGCAAGCAGCAGTCAAGCGGATGTGCAAAAAGCACTAACAAATTTTCTCGACATGATAGAAAATGAAAATACGGTACGTTTTATTTTTGAATTTGAATATACATTAAATTTTTACAATTTTATCATGCATAGAGGAGAATTACTTTTTATTGATTCGCATAAAATGAGCATAACACATGATTCTATAGAATGGTACTCATCACTCGAGTAGTAGTGATCATACCATTAATTAGATACTTTTATGCAAAAATTCACGATGAAGGTGATAAACTGTCAGTAATCTCTCAGGCAATGTTGAGCGTTGGAGCGTTGCTTGGTGCAGCTCAGGCTTATATAATTTTTAAGCAAGTACCTAAAGCAAAAGCTCAACTCAAACGAGTCCTTAATTATACATGGACTTTGCAAGATGCAGACTACTTGGAGAAATGTAACTTCTAGCTTTCTTAATTTTAAATTCATAATCGAAGCCTGATTTGTTTTTACAATTGCAAACGTTTTAAAATTTTTGACGTGTTCGAAAACTGTTGAATATTTTACTGATAAGCACAGAAAATGTTTCGCAGCTACATCCTAACTTTTCAGTGAACTTTAAGATACTTTGTAGGTTGGTTGCTACTAGCTGGTATTTATATCACTCAAGGCAAAAGTGATCAAGCAATTGCAATATTACGAACTGTTTTAAGATACAATATGGTATCTTTTCATGCAAATATACTGATCTCAAACGAGAAATTCCTCTGCGAAGACCTATCATTATTATCGAAAATAAAGAAAAATATATTAACTGACAGTTTGTTCGTAGTTCTAAAATCAGAGTCCATCTTCTACTCAAGAAACAGTAGGATGAAATCTACTTTTAATTATTAATTACAAGTAGCGTATTTTCAGAGTTCGGTAAAAGCTTACGAATACATGGGATTCTTGTATGAAAGGGATCAAAAATGGTTCGAAGCAGCGAACAACTATGAAGAATCTTGGAGAATAGGTAAACAAAGCAATCCATCCATCGGTAAGGTGTCTTCTGTTATGTACATTTTTAATTAGACACTGTGGTTATTCATGATTAAAGAAAATTTACGGTACCGGTTTGAGCAGAAATGGAACTATAATAGTCAGAGGTAGATTACGTGAAACCTAGCTCACAAATAATGAATATTTTGAACATTTAGCATTGCGGGGGATGTTAAGCACAATCATGCAAAAATGTCTTATAAGAATTAGAACCAAAGGTGAATGATTAGAACACAAAAACAGATATCTAGCGACTAACTCATGTAAATTCAGGCTATAAATTGGCTCATAGCTATCTTAAATGCCGCAAACTCTTTGACTGCATCGAAGTGTGCCACCAAGTGCTGCAATTATATCCGGATTGCCCACGTATCAAGCGTGAAATATTGGACGAAGCGAGAGCTACTCTTCGCACATAACGCACAAATATAATTATAAACTGTTCTCGTATAACTCTTAAATTATCATTCTTGTACAAAATGCACACATATATCACGACCTCCGCTTTAAATGAATTTTGCCCCTCATTAAAAATAAGTAATCAACAAACTTCTCTTGCGCACAAGAAAAACAAATAAAATATTAGTGCCTGAGCGATGGGATAGAAAAGTTCGCGGAGATATGTTGTGACAGGATCCGATTAAATAGGAGAGGATACACTACACCTTTCTGAATAATTCATAGAAAAATCCCTCGTCAGCAAAAAATTTTGTGTATTCAGTACTGCTTCTCTAGTTTTTAATCTATTTCTTATTTCTTGAAAGCAGGATTCATACCACTTGAAATTGTTTCCCATATCAATGGCTGTTTTGCGATTCCAGCAGAGTCAAAATTAATAGACATGTTTAGGGACGAAATCAACGAACAGATTGTAACAGAGTGAGAACAAATACAAAACACGGGAGATCATATATAGAAGTAAAATGTTCAAAGAGGTTGCTTTGAAAAAGTTTTTCAGCTAGCCATGCTTCAGTCGCTAATTTTTTAACAAGTACAGCTTTTCTGCGAAAACCACGAGATAGCCTGTAAAGAAACTCTCCGAAGTTCTTTGTTTTATAAATGTTCTCTCACGAAGTGCAAATAGAATCAAGCAATCTTCTCAAAAAGTTTAAGCAGTCAGTAAGTAATGACCTTTAGTTTTATTGATGGATTCCATGAGTAAGACAATAAGTCGTCAGAAACAGAAGTGCTGGAAAAAGGAATCGCTAGACGAGACATAACACGCGTAATACACTCAACTTCATCAAGTAAAAGTTTACGACAACAAGCAATAAATCTGAAATATGTGAAAGTACTGTTAATGAGCTACAAATTTTGTAACTGTATGAAGTACAGTGCAATCAAATGATGATATTTCTGATATTGATAAATCACGACATGTGAGAGAAAAGAATTAGTGTTACTAACATCTGGGAATCAAACTACTGCATATTTATTATACTGCATGACTTATACTATGAATAAAAACAGGCCTGTATCTATATGGAGTATCGAAAAATAGACTACATGAACTAAGCGAAAGCACCACTAGTGCATGGGCTGCATGTAGTCGCTTCAGTTCTTTTGAAGAATATGCATATTTTTCAATTTCGACCAGTAGTGCTTCGGTTTGATCAGAACAATAAAATTGTCTTTCGAGCAAGAAGTTCGAAATTTTTTGCATAAAAACAGGTAGCAAAGCAGTCTTGGGTGACAATTCTTGGCAAAATTGAGCATTACTCCACATTTTCCTCATGAAAATACGAAACTATAAAGATCTAAATCATAAATCTCAGAATCACAAAATCTTAATATTCTATACTTCCCAATATCAATAAATATATTTCTAACTGTAAAAAAATCAGACTTACTGTTCTAATTTTAAGACAGCAAATTCCACTGCTGCCATAATATTTAAGGGCAATTTTCGGTTCATAATCACCTTTATTCGAGCCAGTAGTTTATGACTGTAAGGCACTAAATTTAATAGAGAAGATACAATCAGGCGATTGATTCGGAAATCAGAGTTAGCCACGAGTAGTGAAACGAGCTTCCTTACTATCTTTTTTAGATTTCTATAAAAAACAATGAAATATTAGTTAGAAATTGTATTCTACAAAGTCACAATTAAAATTTTGCCCTTTCCATAATTCAAATTTTATCTTAATAATTTTCGAAACATAAGTGTATATAAGAAAATCTTTACTTCACATGTCATTTTAAATAAATGCAAAAAACTCACTTCAACTGATTTTCAGAGTAAAATGATACGCTCACAAAGTGTAGAGTATGCAATAACGAAAGCAAAAATATCAGAGCTGGATCATGTACTGTTGTCTGTTCAAATTGTTGAATGTATTCCTCCCATAAAGATTTATATAGCGAAAGAAACATATAAAGTGGCATTCCATTTTCTACGTCATCTACAAGTTTGTGGACGAAAGCAGCTAAAAAATTTTTAAATATACTTCTTGCTTATTATTTGAGATATTCAACGTGGAAATTATGGCTTCCTGAAACATGAAACTTACCAAAACAATGACTCGCTGTACTTCGTACTACATATTCACCATGTCGATAAGATTCTAGTGTTGACTTAAAAATTGTTCGAGCAAAAGAAGTTACATCTAAAAATGAACATATTTGTTTCTCTACAAAAATTGACAGTAATAACAATACAAAAAATTTTGGACAAAAGCTTTAGAAATATGTGGTAATCAAATCAATATTTTATTTATAACATATAGCACCAAACGTACCAAAGCATGTCATACACAGCAGAGTTTTCAATACTTTCATTTGTCGCACAGCCACCCATGTCATGTGCACAGCAGCATCCCCAAAGAGAAAATCAGTAACACTGGTAGGAATAATCTCGTGAAATATTTTGAATATTGAACAAAATGCCAAATTACGAGTCACACAATTTTTATCCAAGAATAATTCTCTGGTCTTAAAATCAGGAAAAGATGAAGTATTAAATTTATTATACTTTTTAGGGATACAGTAAAAACGAGTATGAAAGTATGCTATATAAATCTTTTAACACTCAAAATTTTTTAAATAATATATAAATAAAAGTGAAATATAAGGGGTTTAAGATTAAAAAACTTATGCTATATTTTTTATTGAATAGCGAGAGGAATTATTCCACAATTACTAACATTCTTGGAGTGATAAGAAAAAATTATAAGAGTAATCACTGTTTCTAACTAAAATGAGACCTCTTAGTTTTTGATAGAAATGAAAAAATCGAGATTCCGAACTCCATACGAGTGACAATGACAGTAACAGGAATATTGGCTTACTTTACTGAAGTACTGATGAACTAAATTGAACATATTATTTTTAATGCAGCAATTGGTTATTCTACTGAAGTATATAGCACAATCATCAATCACACCTTTATGACGACTGCGCATCAGTACATTCCAAACCGAATCATAAGCATTCATGATAATATTCTGCAGCCCTATTCTTTCAGAAATACATGCCAACAATTCACAGTTTACCTGAAAAATAAAACTTGCGTGCATGATAATTTCAAATAGACATTATTCTGTAGCCTAAAAACTTTGTAATAAAAAATTTCAATTTTAACGAAAAATAAAAAAATTTCCACTGGATAATATCAGAAAGAATATATCTCTTAAGTTTATACAAGTTCCAACACATAAGTAATGAGACAAAAGGTAAAGGGAACTAAAAGAGATGAAAATTTTCCGAGAATTTTACTCAATAAGTAGTATTCCATACATATGTTAACAGAAGGAAACTTTGTAACATTATTTTACTGCTGAAATTTGATATGATAATGATTAATAGTACCCTTTAGAAATTCCGGTACTTACTAGAAAAGAGAATGATGAAAAGTGCAATAAAATAAAATAAATAATAACTTGCTTTCAACATTTGGGAATACTGATCAACTGCGTTACGTTGTTCCTTACTTATCATCAATGTTGGACAATATTCTATCGACGGATATAATCTTTTATATAGTTCGGGTAGCGATGTGCACTGTCTAATATGCTCACTTCCGCTGAGTAATAGGAAATCAGTATTTGATTCGATACAAATGTTCACAAAGGATGAAAGATCAAACGATAATTCACAAGTAGAATTTTGCAACAGTGAGATCAATATAATTTTCATAACTAAAATGAAAGCAATTTGAGAAATAAAAATTTCAAAACATAATACAAATAAATAACGATTCACAAAGTTAGAGACTATTATAACACGTCGAAATTCTTACTCAATAAAACAATTATCAAACTGAAAATTATGATTTTTGAGAGCGCTGCTTTGATAAAAATAATGCCACTTTACATCTCCTTGATGAAAAGAATATTTTAAACATGTTACCATTTAAATCAGATGTTTTTGAGATCTCCAGTAAATCAAAAATTTCCCTTGGTTGCTTAAACTGCAGTAATAACACCACAAATTCGCTTAATCCAATTGTAGTAGAATTACTGAGCATTTCTATGAATTTTTCTACAAGAAAAATTTGTGAACTCCTTTGTAGGGACGATAAACATGTTATAAATTTTGATCTGAAACTGAACAATAAAAATATAACAACATTACTTGAGTTCAATTAAATGTAAATACATTAAGCAAAAATCACCTTAGGACAACAGAATTTTGTATAACAATATCTTTGAAATGTATCAATCATAACACTTCATCCAATACTTTTTATCACTGACTAATTCATATGTAGAATTAGAATAGATAATAGTAGCATAGGTTCCCCACCTTATTTCTGCATTATCATGATCAATTAGAGTGTACATTTCTTGCGATTGATCAAACCATCCGTCAAAACCACACTGCTTCAAAAGATCAAAAATAAAACTGATTTCACGAGATTCCCTCTTATTATACCAAATGTCATCAAGTTCCTGCACCAAAGCTTTTTCTAAGCGCTTACGTGCTTTATCACTCAATGTTCGAATGTGATTGCAAATAATGCCACGCAAATTGTTGTCGTTAGTATTCAAATTTTGAAGCACAAAAAATTTGAAACTACTTCCAAACTGATGAGGAAGACTGAGCTAAACGACAATGAAATTGTAATAGACTGAGAAAAAAAAGGGAAAATTGAACTAACTTTAATTGCATATCTCTTAGTTACCATCATTAAATTCTTTTAGTGATTAAATTGTAATAATTAAACAGTAGAATTATAATTAATTTAGTAAAACAACAAAACTTTTATCCACACAAAACTTACCATTTTCTTTTTCATTAATTTGTTTGTTAAATTAAATGCTTCCAGGCGTAATATTGAATGATATGAAGTTAAACATTTCTGTAATAAATCGGACTCATTCTTATCCAGACTGCAAATGAAAAATTTTTGAATGGAAATCCAAGCATATAAGAGACGATCGAAGCGCAACCAAATTATGTCATCATCAAGTTTTTCTGGATTTGAATCATAGAAATGATCGACGTAACTCAATTGACGCAGTTCACACTTAGTAATTTCGTAACTGCAGTTAGTTTGTTTAGCATATTGCTTTTCATCTGAAATCATTTGCAATATGACTGCAGCTGCTTTTTTCATAATGAATTTACTATCGATACCAGAGTTCAATTTAGTCAGCCAAAATCGTGAGCAATTTTGACGTCGAATTCTGAAACGACACTTTTATATGAAGCAGTAATGAAGAGTAATAATATTCCTTTGAATTTCTAACCGAATGAAGTTTATTTTCATTTTCTTGAAAAACGAATCAAGAAGCTTTTAAATATAATATTTTTGCAGTAACTGAGAAATTACTGTGCGGTACAGCAAATTTATTCAATAGATGAATGAGAAGACAGTTTTCTTTTCAAAACTGTAACATACTGTCAACTAAATAGTATGTAATCATTTTCCGCCATAAGTATTAGTTAATATGTTTTAAAATAATGATAAGTAGAAATGATTAGAATAAACTGAACGAACCGATTTGATGAAGTCAAACAATCTGCTATGAAATGAGCGAAGGTCTCGGAATCACTCTTATCACTAATAGACCATGCCAGTACACAATCTGATGTTGGACAGCCATTTGATTGACATGCTGAAGCCTCCCATAAACTAGCCATCAGTATATTTTCAATATCGTTGCATGTCTGAAAATTCATAAATTGTCACTAAAAGCATAAAATATCCGATTCTCTATTTTTGTCTGTCTTCTTTGTTTGTTTTTTTTAATTTATAAAAGCTAAAGAGTGGATTTACATCGAACAAGTTTGCTCATTAATTAATTAGATTATTAACACGCCAACTGAAATACATTTTTATTACGCAGTTTAAAATCCAATGAAGTAAAAAAGCGCCATAACATATTCAATAAGACGATTAACAAAAGTATTCACATAAATCTAACAAATAATTAAAGTAAAATAAAGACAATAATTTAAAAATTACCTCATCACATTGCAGTGCAGGTATCGTTGTAGAAATTAAAGTCCACTTTTTTTTTACAGCTTTCGGTAATGAGCATAACCACAAAAATTGCTACATTAAAAATGAAAGATATTTAATTCAGAAAAGAAAAGAGGAAAAATAGTCTTTGAAACATAAATATACCAATAAATATTAAATAACATACCTGATACGCTGAGACATCCAACTCCCTCTGAACTTTCAATAAAGTTTTCAGAATTTTGAGATCAGTATTACCCGAATATTGTATAAAGACATCACGAAAGCATTTCTGTATACATTTTCGTAATATATCTTTATTTTGACTATCAAATTCATTGGCAGTCTTACTTAGACGTTTCACAACTATCTCATAAATGTAAGAGTCTAATGTCTCAGTTTTCTGCATAATCCATTCTGCTATCTGTCTGAAAGAGTTCAACAAATTACTAAACCTTTTGATGGTGAAAAATAATTAAATAGTAGCAACTGATGTAAAATTAAAATCAATCTGAATGGATGAATAATATGCAAATATACATATAAGGCTAAAGATATAGAACAGTTAGGCTTAGGAGTAAAAAATGATATTAATATTGTAATAAATAACGTGAACTTTTACTAATACAGTTACTTTCACAGTGTCTCTTTTACATAATACCTTGAAAAACAAAAAGTAGACAAGAAAATGTACCGCACAGGAAGTTTGTATATTGCAGCATGAAATTTGATGCGATCTTCATGAACGATGTCATCCAAACGATCATCCTTAGCGCCAGAAATAGGTACAGACATTCAAGAAAATACTAGACCCGCGGGGTGGAAATGAAGCACAAACTATTGATTACAAGACTGAAAATGAAACCCAACCACTCATAAAAGTAAACCTCACCATACAAATACTTGGAGCTTATAACTTCCAGTTCCTTACAGTCAGCCAGCTTTTTGGAACTAAATCTACCCTGAATCTCCCAAACGAATCAAAAATATGTCTCGTACAAAAGATCTTACAAAAATCGTTGCGTGAGACACTTTCAGTAACCATAGACTACCATTGTTAAACTATTAAATCCAACCATAGACTACTGTTGTTAAGCTCTTAAATTTTACGCTGCATTTACAATTAACCGTATGAAGTACGTCTGTTCACAACTGACCGTAAATAACTATATGCAAACTTTAACGAATTTTGTCTGCAAAATGTAAGCTGAATATCACTCAAACACCACCATTCAGTGTTAACAAAGGCATTTCACTTGAAAGGATGTACGTCCATGCATTAAAACAATTCGCTCACCAACTGAAGATAGTTTTTTGAACACAGTACGTCCTCTAGCAACCACCAATATTTGACTTTGCAGCATAATTAGTACTCCTTACTATTCTCAAAATCTAGAGACTCAAGAAACAGCAACACCATTACTGACTGTTACATTCTAAAGGCAAGGAGAGCAATAAGTCAGAACTTTTAACTATCACATCTAATCTGAAACAGTCTTTTCATATTTGATTTTCATGAGAGCGCTTCATATTTCCAAAGAATAATCATAAACTCTTCATTTGAAGCCACATGAGAATTCACTTTCAAGCAATTTTAAATTCGATAACTTTGAAACAAATATACCGCAATCATTCATGGAAACACACGTGTACATATATCACATATAATGAACAAACCTCCAGCTCTGATGCTTTATGAAAAAGAAAGTCAGTGGCATTTGATTTGGAAAAATCATCAACAAAAACAAAAAAAATAACCAATGTTGTTCTGAACATGTTAATGAAACTTTCTGAATCACAGAAACCATAATTTGAAGGTTTCATTAGGTATACATAGCAACAAACATATCTCCAATTGCATATAAAAACGAGGCGTTTTTTGATGTTTCTCGACGTCTTCATTATAAGATATGGAATGTCTTGGTGTAACAGCAGAGAAAACTATCCTTCCCGGCGAATGTGATAACTTGATATCTCTGAAAAAATAAAACAATGAAAATTGCTCTAAAAAATCGAAACTAAGATCAGAGTTGAAAACAACAGAAGACGTTACAAGTACGGAACAAAAAACTTTCTTGACCACTCACTTTGTTCAATAAAATTTTATCTAGAAATATTTCCATTATCAGCTTTGACTTAAATATAATTTGCAGAATACATATCAGATTTTTAAGTGAACATAACAGCACTATTGTGACTTAGCAATGTACAACTGCAAGCACCGAAATTAGTGATGGATAAATCAGATTATTTACAGTTCAACTTTTTTCAAACTGCAACACATACTATAATTAAAGGAGAAACAAAGTAACTGACTACTAGGAGTCAAAGACATACAAGGATTCCAACACCAAATAATCAACTACGTCTAAATTGCTATTGCTATTAGAGAAGATCCAGTAGTTAGTAAAACTACATGCAACTTTTTAGACGTGCTCTGTTAACGCGAACGCTTGCAGATATCTACAATCCATACAACTGAATTAACTGGACGTTAGAGCTGGGACCAAAATACGATCAGGAATTCGCACATCGCTATCTATCCACTATCTCAGTCAAACTGATAAACAAAAGAAAAAAAAGAGAAATAATAAAATTTAAAATATACTACAAAATATGCATTTCGATACAGAACTACAAAAGGTGAGAAAAAAAGTACTATCGACTCACTCCTTTGGAAACAAAAATACTGAGCTAAAGACAAAAACCAAAAATTAATTTTTATACTACTACGGGTGAGAATATTCGGACTACATTAAGTGATCTGTGTTTGTTGGTTAAATTAATGCTTCCTATTTTTCAACAAATAAAGACTTTCCGTCTGCATTATACAAGACTTTCATATTGCCAAACTATACTTTTGCAGACACGAACATACCCACAAGAATACATGGATGCATTTTTTTCGAATACCTGAAGTAATCAGAGACGTAGCACACTCCATACCGAGAAGAATTCTAGACCTTCACTGCTACGTTAACTCTATAAATATTTTTTAATAGCATAAATTCTGACTTTTATATCCTCACATGAAGTGTGCAAACTATTATGCATGAATTTTGTGATCGTAAAACATCAAATGAACTCTAGTTTAACAACATGAATCAAAACTTTAACCTCAGTATATCTCTTCTACTACAAGTATATAAATTATAACTGATATCCTGACAAATAAAACAATAAAATAAAATTCTGTCTTTCTTTGTGAATCTTAAACTAACTCTATTAGTTCTAAATTTTAAACAGAAATTTGAAAATATAAATTCATGTTATTAAAGCAGAAATAGATAATGCCATTTCAGTAATATCAAACTTCAGTATAACTTCTGTATCTTTCTCATTTTTTAAAGTGATTTTAAGAATTAAAAGAAGAATTTTACAACTTAATATCTATAAATTTCACCCACATTCATAATCATAAATACGAATTAAACATGCAAATAGATATAAACAGTACCATATAGAAATAGAAACTTAAGGCAAGAATTAATGCGAAAACGACCTGTGAAAATCGCTTGGCCGGTACTGTAGAATCCATCACACTGCAGCACTCCAAAACATAGCCCAACAAAGTATTATCCGAAGCATTTTCTGACGTTACCTCCAGCGGATTTAATATCTCACAACTGCCATACTTTCAGCTCTTTAATTCTTTGATAAAGTTGCCATTGCCACCGATTACAATGTAATGTCTCTGTTGTCACTGTAATTGTAAGTGCTAAGTGTTGAATACTGTCACTAATCCAAAATTCAAACACTTGGTAGATATTGAACGTAAACTTATCTAGAAATTATTTTTCATGATCTAAATTTGATTTACATGCATTCAGAACCGAAAACATCAGAAATAATCATAAATTAGTATTGACTAATCGGAAATCTGAAGAGTTGAATCACTATCATTCAACTGATCCAGATTACTGATAAGTTAATTATCACAACAGACTTACTTTTAATTGGTACTGAATATTGCGGCCGACCACCAAATACCGTTTAACCAAAGTTACTTGAGACATGAGTTAAATTAAATGGTACTGTGATGTGAGATTTGTTCTCTGTGCGAATTTTTGTAGAATTTGTAGTACAAGCAACTAAAGAACATTCTATCAAAGCTAAATTCAATGTGGTCTTTAATTATTTTTCATTTTCATAGTTGTCATCTGAAATGTCGTTATTAACTGTATTAACTAATTTAAATTATATTATGTAAGTTATTTTTAGAAATTATGAGTGGTGATCAAAAATTAGAGGATTCTTCAATGTCTAGTGGCCCATCAATGGCTTATCAAACATGGCAGATGGAAAATAAAGTTGATTCCTGTGAAATGATTTATCGTTATGATACAGTGGAACAACAGGCTATACGAGCTGCAAAACCTTGGGAAAAAGACCCTCATTATTTCAAAGTATTACTTAATTTCATTTTAATATAAATTCTAAGACTTTACGTCATTGCATTGCACAGTAACTGTATTTTGAATCCAGAAACAGGTACTGTAAAAGTAAATTTGAAAAAGTACAATTATTCTTTTACATATTACAATTTTTCATACAGCGAAATATTATGTTTTGATTACAGAATTTCAACGCCATATTCATCTTACTGTACATAAATGTTTTATTAAATGAATTGATTCAAATTTTTCCGAATATTATCCATCTGTTTAGTATTACCCTGAGCTATAATTTTTCAAAATGCTGACAAAGATTTTCGTCTACGCAATGCCACGAATCAAATTTTCATTTCCAATAACTTTTTAGCTACAAAAGCGATTACAGTGACCTTTTTTTCAGTTAGTTAAACTCAGTCTTTTGTTAAAAGATATTCAATTATACGTATCTTTGACTTATGCTGAAAATTGCTCCTATTTTAACTTTCAGGAAATCAAAATATCAGCGTTGGCACTATTAAAAATGGTAATGCATTCAAAAAGTGGGGGTAATTTGGAAGTTATGGGATTGGTGCAAGGTAAAGTTGATGCAAGAACATTGGTTGTTGTAGACAGTTTTGCTTTACCTGTTGAAGGAACCGAAACTCGTGTTAACGCTCAAGTGCAGGCATATGAGTACATGACAACTTTTACTGATAGTTCAGAAGCTGTTGGAAGATTGCATAAGGTTCAGTATACATATTCTTCTACTTTTTACTTTGAGAAATGTTACTTTTCGTTTAAAAAAAAGTCATTTTTTAATTTTCATTTTTTAAATTAATTTTTCTTCATTTCAAGAAAAAAAGACTTTGTAAATGCACTCCTGTAGAACTTTTCTTTAAGCTGAACTGTATTAAAGGTCGTAGGTTGGTACCATAGCCATCCAGGATATGGTTGTTGGTTGAGTGGAATAGATGTGTCAACTCAAGCTCTAAATCAGCAGTATCAAGAGCCATTTGTGGCGATTGTTGTATGTAATCTTATTTGAATTTCCTATTTTCTATCTTGAACTTCAGATCTAATTTTTTTTGTTTTTACTGAAGGTGTTGCTTATTATGTAGATTGATCCTGTTCGAACTGTATCAGCTGGAAAAGTAGAACTGGGCGCTTTTCGAACTTATCCAAAAGGTTATAAGCCTCCTGATGAGACTCCTTCAGAGTATCAGTCGATTCCTTTAAATAAAATCGAGGATTTTGGTGTTCATTGTAAACAGGTATTGAATTGAATTACTCTTTATATATTAACTCTTTTTTGTCCCTTTTCGTTTGTGTGTGTATTGATAAGAATATTTAACATGAGATCCATTCTCTTACAAACATTTCAAGTGCACAATACAGCATTGTTAACTATAATTATAATACTGTGCAGCATTCATTTTGCAAAAGTGAAACTTATTTAACTTGCATGATTCGAGTGAAGGGCATATTTCGATATGAATTAAAAATACGTGCTTCAATGTGTGACTAAGGCTTTGTATTATCGTCCAATGAATTCAAACGTTGGCTCCAGTGAAGAGAAACAGAATAAAGACATATAGGACAGTCGTTCACGTCATTTAGTAATCACGAACTATTTCAGTACTACCCTTTGGAGGTGACATACTTTAAGTCATCTTTGGACTCATGCCTACTAGATTCACTGTGGAATACATACTGGGTTAGTACGTTGTCTAGCAATTCGCTGATTACTAATTCGTCATATGTTACTGCACAGTTGAATGATCTTGCTCAGAAGATTCAGAATGTAAGTTGTGAATTTCTTTCCTGACACCGTCTCCATTAGTGCTTTTTGCTATTAGATCAGTGAAGTTTGTTCTTTCAGTTAGGTAAATGTAGATTTCTCCAAGGATCGCGTACAGATTCGGTTGCATCGGAAAAGTTAATGAAAGTAATCAAAGATACGAAAAAGGTTTGTTCTTTCGTTTTTCTTTACTTATTATGACATAGTTTTGCTATACTCTGCAAGCTAATCAAAAAATATCTTTGAAACTTACTTGATCTTGTATTGCGGTCATATATTTGGTTTAGGTTAATAGTGAAGTTACTCATGGAATGATGACCCAAATGATCAAAAATGCGTTGTTCAATTATGCACCGATCTCATTATCAGGAAAAACAATTACAGATGATATGTGTCAAGAGTAAAGTGATGGAGCTGTTGTGGTGACTAGTTAACTGTAAATGACCTGACTTTTTTGCCGTAACCAGCAATATGTAAAACAGTGACAGGTATGACGGTCGTACTATAAATATTGTCGTTTACGGCGAGCTGAAGAAACAACTCATGAAATTGAATATCTAGAAGTGATATATTTACTCGTGATGCTAATGCATTCTCTAAACGAATGTGTGTGTCAAATAAACCTGCTGTAGACACTTTTTTTACACTTTTGTAATCGAACAGTGTGACTGTATTTTGGACTTATTTCTATTTACCTAATTTGACTCCATGCATTTTAGTACTAGTTCAGTGATACGCTTTCCAAATCCTAGATTCAAAACCAACATTCTAATCTAAATTGGAAACAAAAAATAACGTCGATATTGAACAAGCATTAAACTTATATTATGCATCGCACTAACCCAAATTACTAACCATAATTCAGTACCCAATGCTGCGCATGGGTCTTCTGGGAGCTCGAAGTTTTATAATCTTGAAATCTATCCAGTTATTAAAATTTTGAGGAAAACTGTTCATTATCTGTTTTATCGCAGGTTAGTACAAGATTTAACAAAGCAATATTCAAGCAATCGACCCAGCATTTGACGCAATCCTAGGCCACAGATCAGCACATTCTTTTGCGACAGGTCCTGTAATAGCGGAACCTTTCATTTCACCCTTATTGTTGACAATGACTCCAGCATTATCTTCGAAATAAATGAATGACCCATCTTTCCGTCGATACTGTTTTCGTTGCCGAACTACCACTGCTTGTAAAACTGGAATGAAATTATTAATTTCGACATAAGGAATAAGGATATAATGAGTAACATTTATAAGTAAGATTCGAGTTTCTTAAGATGCTGACGGAATTGAATTATTACTATAGAGCAATAATTTATCATAACAGAAATTTGAAGTCGAAGCAAGCAAACAGTATCAATCTTTGTTTTCGTAAGCCTCAGACAGCCAAGGAATTCCTCATGATTAACTCAGCTATAACTGCGAAACCATCCTTGTATCATCATCACTGGCTACTTGCTGCTTATCATATCATGTAAACTATTCTACTTTTGTAACATACCTTAAAAAAATTAAAATTTCCTGTACATTGCATTAATTAATGAACTATGTAATCAACAATATTCAGGAAACTAATATTACAATGAATGACGACTAACTACGGTTGTTCTAGCTACCGAAGGATGTTTTTTGACTACAATTACACATAGTGTGCAAATTTTAGAGAGAGAACACTTATAACAATGCAAACCTTTTTTTCGCAGTTCTGGTTTCCCTTTCTTTACCGACGCAACAAACATATCACCAACGCCGGCACTAGGTAGCCGATTCAACCGTCCTTTTATGCCGTATACAGCAATAACAAATAAATTCTTAGCTCCGGTATTATCTGCACAGTTCATCACAGCACCAACTGGTAGACCGAGCGAAATCCGAAATTTTGCTCCGGATGCTCCACCACGTCCTCTCTTTGACATTTTCGATACCTAATGAGACTGCACTTCAGAATAGTTATTTCAGTTAATCTCCATTACACAATATGAGAATGTATCCAACCTACATCGTCATTAGCATGTGTGAAATTATTTCATGAAAGCAAGAAGATTGTATTTAAAAGATATTCTATTACTTTGCATTAGACTATCCTGATAATGAACTAAAAATTACCATGCCAACAAAACTAATGACTATGCAAATTGTTTTCTACATTTACTACAATGAACTGATAACCTACTGGCAACAATTTATTGCTTGAAAATCATTTTCCAGTTATAAATAAGATTAACTGTGACAGAAACATACTTAAATTGAACTGAACTTGAATCAAACTGAACCACTAAAAGTATGCTTGAGAATACAGATAATTCGAGAATCTAACAAATAGAACATCAGATCCACCAACATTACTTGCCTAAACTAAAACGCGGCCCTAATAAAATACAGCTCACTGTGCAAATGTAACATCTCCATAACTCCCATGCTTTTAGCAATCAAGTTTTAATGAATAGCCCATTCTCAGTCTAGCTTAGTAACTTATGCGTTGTGTATGTGTCGCGATTTTATTGAAATTCTGAACAGAGTCTGCCCTCACTTTTATTTGCATAAGATGCCATAGTTTTAAATACATCACCGCAAATTTCACTCGTCTGTTCAAGTATGTAAATGTTTTCGTCCCGTCCGTGCAGGTCTACATATCACTTACAGGACTCATACACGTCCTGCTATTTGGACTTTCGATACCATTAATATCGATTAAACATATAATTAGTGATGTAAAAATTAGTACTTATTACATGCAAACAAGACTCTTACTTGTCAAAAGTTATTTATTCATAAGTGTAAATACTTTTCTTAAAACAGTTGACGCTAACAGCATTGTTCGGGCTCATTAGCAGCATAATAATACTAAAAAAAATTTGCATAAAATGATACAAGAAATATTTCGAAACTTTCTCAAACGTATGATATGATCCCCCCCACTAAACGCAGTCAAAATATTTCAACAAGAATTAAGTCAATAGGTTATATCATTTATGGTGAGTACATCAAAATCTTGAGATTAGTACAATAATAAACTTAGCAAATGCAATTAGATCATTTCATTGACTCGTTCTTTTATTAAAATAGCAAAGTGACAACTGACCCAGACCCATATAGCTTTTCCTGAATTATTTTTAATAATACTGGAACAATGGTTTCCTTTTTAGCCTTTCAATAATACCCGAGTCATATTACTACTAATAATGACCACAAAGCAGAGTCGCACTGGTATCACAAACGATTACAAAATACTTGACCTGAAAAATTAGACACTAGTATCTAGTCTATCTGACGATTAAATAAATTAATTTTTTTGTTTTTGTATAAGTTTCGAAAAAAACCTTGTAACTTACATAAGAGTTGTGTAAATTATCGAGTGGTGAGATCTCAAATTTCGATACAAATTTAGATGAAAACGAGGATCAGTAAATTATTGAGACGAATGTTTTCCAAGTACACTGCGTCATGTTCAAATCCAATTTCTAGTTTTAGGGCATTTGCTTTCCAGAAATTACCACCAGCTAGTAATGGTGACAACAAAAACTTTTGCAGCTAAAATATTTTTAATAAGTTCACGAAAGAAATTTCGAATAAAATAATAAAGTTAGTAAAAATACTAAAAAAAAAATTAAAATGACTCTTTTTCATGGATACACATCAAGGAACTGCTGTTGATGAAAACCAGATGAAAATCAAAGGATGGAAACCATCATCTGAATTCAGTACTCACATGTATCAGAGAAGAATAATTATGCATTAATTCATGTAATTTTGATAACAATGAGTTATTAAACAATGCTATACATCAAGCACAAATGCTGAAAAAATTATTCCGCTTCATATACAGATGTTACTAATGTAAATTGAAGCACTACATTCTTTCTCTGCTTTACGTATTACAGTTTTCTTTCAATGTGCAGCTATATGAATTTTTTAGTTAATGAATTACTTCATTTAATACCACCCATTTTCAATCATTGTAAGTTTCTTTCTAGTAAAAATAAATGCAACTTTCAAGGATAAAAACCTAAGAAGGTCAATCAACAAAAACACCCTATTTCACATGGAATTGAAAGAAGCAATTTTTACCATATTAAAATCGAACATCGTTGCTTGTACATGAATAAACGTTAATTCGGTCAACCGATGAGGTGCGTTTTCAACAAAACCAAACACAGATAAGGAAGTAATGCGCTTGCAACCATTTAAATTTATCGTTTGTAAAAGAGGACAACGTTGGGCTAGGGTTAGAGCGAATTTGTCAGTGATCTAAGACAGAAAATATATGCATAAATTTGAAAAATTACATTTTAATTTGAAAAATTTTCCATTTTACACTGATTAAACAGCATTTATTACTAAAGAGATAAGATTTTTTTGTAAAATTAAAATGAAAACATGAGCAAATTTAAAATAAACCGAGCATATTAGTCATATCTTACATCTCTTTGTATTTACTGCAACAAAATTAATGAAAATTTCAAGCAAATTGTGAACTTCAAAAACATACGCTCTAAGTGTTTAACAATAATGTTTTTAAGCTATTTTATAATATTTATTAAGCATTCTTTTTATTTGAAAATTGAGAGACGATTTTAATTTTTAGAACAATAAAAGAAGATAAAATTTACCAGTTCATTATTAGTAATAGATAGATTGGTTAAAGTAGTAAATGATGGAGAGAATATTCTAATGAGTAATGATTCGTTATCAATTGGAAGTTCAGTGTCCAATATATATAATTCTTCAAGTTCATTCAATTTCACCAGTAATGCAAATGTCCACGGGCGAACTTTTGAAAAATCAACACCTTGAAAATGTAATGACTTCACACACGTAGGTATATTGCTAAAAAGTACATGAACTGTTGCGTCTGGAATTTGAGTTTCCATATTTTCCTGTAATTAAATTAAAAATTAGCTGAATAAAAACTTATCCTTCACTAAATTTTACACTTTTAAAACAAAGTGTATCCATAAGTCAATGACTTTATTCTGTTTTTCAATACTAAAAAAGTAAAAGAGTATTTTTCTCAAACAACTACAGATTATAGTTTTATTGAGAAAAAATTAATAAAAATAAATCTAATCAAGGACTTATTTGAATGCAAAGTGTAAATACTGTATAGTATTATAAATGTTGTTGATTTTATTTAAAAAATTTTTGTAAATTCTCAGTATCTGAAAATATTCAGAATAAACTTTAAAAATAATAACCTTTGGTACACTTGAATCTTCAATTACTAAAGTAGTAATTTCTTTACCAGCAGTTTGAAATATGAGCTCGAACAAAATGGCACGTCTTTCTGAATGTTTTGAGCATACACAAGTTGCAAATGAAATTTGCGATTCAGTTGGTTGTTGAAAACATGCTATACAAGATAAGGCATCTAATGAAATAGATATATTCCTGACAATAGGAAGTGATCTTCTTAATATATTAAACCATCGGGAACATGTAAATGCAGCTGGAAGAAGACTGGACACTGGGAGATACTGGAAAATAGCTCTTAGCATTTCTTCTGGTAATGATTCCATTTTTACACGATATTTCTTTTGCTACTGCAAATTTATGATATTAATTCATCAATATAATCACTCTAATAAAATAATCAATAATTTTTTATAAGTAAGTAATATTGCACTGGTTTTTCTGTACATAATATTAACACATCTTTACAAATAATTACATTCAACATTTACCAAAAAAAACTAATCAGGTAGAATGATTTAAATTAACTAATTATTTTACCACCTTCGTAAACATACAGCAATTAGGCGATAAGTACTATGTTGCACTCATTATCTATTCTAGCAATATGTTTTAATTTAAAACTAACAAACTAACCATTGAAATATCGTGCAAACTGCTAATATATTTGTGACGCTAAAATGTATATTAATCCAACACTTAGTAGAGAATTTCCATCAGATAATACTTTTTCTGAAATTGCACATTCATTATAATAGCTAAAATTTTTTAACATGAACTAAATGTAATAATGATTAACATCATAACTGACAATTCTGATCCATAACTGGCAATATAAAATCAAAAAAGTAGTCTTGTAGTATGGAATACAAACTTGTCTATACATATTGTTAAGTATAATGTCTGATTTGATACACTTGTAAGCAAACTTTTGATACTTACACTTGAATAATGACTGCAACAAATAACAAAAAAACTCTGTTATGCTCACTAAGGGGTCTCAAATAAATAAAGGATAATGCAAGTAAAAACTGAGCACTACTTTACATAAGAGAAAAAACTATAACAACAATCAATAACTATTTTATTTGCATGAACAGCGTGAAAGTATAAATGAAATATAGCTAGCAACTGGCAAATAATGAGTACTCGCAGTGCATTTAAATGCGAAGGCATTCAAAGATCATGTCTCACAAGATAAATTCATTCAAGGTTACATCACATATGATCAACTGAAACTACGGAAAGATAAAAAATTACAAACACATATTAACGAGCAAATTATGACTATAAAATTACGTATTGATTACTGAGAATAAAAATAAGTATAGTATACGAGGATAAGATCAAAACTGAAATTTGCAGCACCTAATTTAATCATTTGCTGAAAGTAAGCGTACAATGTCAAACAAATTCCTTTGAATATTGTTTATTTTCTCGGTATGGATGGTGTGACTTATGTCTTTATATGAAACATTTGCATGAAATGAATTATGAGTTAATTATAGAAATAAAAATTATTAAGAAAACAGACAGACAATTTATCATTATTTAACGAATATCAAAGCAGTTTTTCTAGCAACTTTCAGTTGAAGGGGAAAGTTATCAGCAAACATAACGCATTATTACTAAAATACATCCATACGTATAGTTGTCATATTCACGAAATAATAATACGACAAACAGCAAATAATGCCAAACAAACACGTGTTGAACCATGAGGTGAGAAGCAGTGCTTTTAGTCACGCTCTCAGGGAAAAGAAACAAAGTGATCTACACTCAAAATAACTAATTTTCACATTAAAAAACAGCCACAAAGTAATCTAATCTTTGTGCGAAACAGAAGAAATTGTACCTGTTTCAAGTAGGACAGACTTACTTAACAAAACGTTGAATAATTTTACTTTACTTTCTTTACGTAATTCATGAGGGTAATAATCTTCCTTTGCAATTGGCAATTTGCAATTCGAGTTTTGGGAAATATAAGAGTAGCAATCAATGCAAATAAACTTAAATATTATATAAAAACAATTTAAAACAACCATTGCCTCAATTATACTTGACAGGAATGAAATCAATGCATTAATACATTCTATTGTAATCTACTCAATATATACATGTAGCATAAAAACAAAATTTGTATAAAAACACAAGTGATGCATCTGAAACCAGAACAAATAGTGCAAAATCATTTTGCAATGACAAATGTCTGCTAATTAAACGATGATGTGATTCTATGATCAGATGCTATTTGCTACAGTTTAAGAATGCAGTTCAAAAATTTACTGATATATAATTTCTACAAAAAGGAATTGTAGGAATAATAGATACTGAGTAAGACATTTTCAACAGTGAAATAAGCTCACTGTTCGCAACGGAAAATTTTCGGCACTTATAAAAACAAACTTTCAAAATATTTTTATACATTAAACAACCAGCTTTTCATACTTTCAATAAAACTGCATTTCAAAAAATCACATTCCAAACCTCTTTGAGGATCTGACGGATGCTGGCCCTTTTCCAGGTTCTGCTATATGTTCAGATGAAACGGAGGACATGGAATGAGATCGATTCGATTCCGCTTCTGCCATTTGACTCATTTTACCACTAGCCTAAAATAACTTTATAACTCTGAATCTTTACAGTAAAAGAGTGAAACGAAGAATAATTAAAACTATAAACTCAACAAATGTTGGGCCTCGAATATTTATTACAAAGATTATGAATGACATGAACAACACTTTTATATTTTATTGAAAAAACAAAAAGTACCTGTTTCATTTCCTTTTCCATATCACGAGCATCTCGTATACTTTGCAATCTTCTTTCAGTTCTACTTGAATCCGAATCTTTCAATGAATAAAACATGGGGCCGAGTTCAGCTAGCCAAGCTGTCTCAACTGATGTCACACACTGCATATACTCCTTAGCCGTCATCACTAACTCATGATACACAACGTAATCTGGCATGTATCCCATTCCTCAAAATAGTAGAAACATTTAGTCTTCCTTTAATATTAAGTATAATTAAAAAGCTGTTTATGTAATTAGTTATATATTTGCTCAAGAACAGATAAATAATTTTATTATTGAAAAAATAGCCAATATTTTCTATAGGTCAAAAATATACACAACATATAAAGTGTTTACCAAAAAGTGCAGATGTAGGGTGCAGAAAACAAGGAATTCCTGTTCGAACGTTAACATATTCCCCAATTCCTTTCAATCTACAACGTGATAAAAACATTAACAACACGTTTGGATCATATATTAGATAATAAAAAGCTATGTTTCTTACTAACCTTGCAGCATTTTGAAAATAAGCAGAACAAATACACTTCCGTATAACATCCCAATCAGTGCCACAAGATACAAGCGTAATTTTTTGCTCCTCCATGATATCTTTGAGTTGAGCACGAACCTGAACAAGTTTCATATTTCATAAAATATGAAATCAAATACTTTAAAATCTATGCTTATTCCACTCTTAATTAAATTTTAAAAAAATTGAAATGCTGACAAAAAAAATTTAATTCTTCTAATAAAAGACAGCTGACAAGAAAACAAAGCATGCACGAATGAATACAAAAAGCCTTACTTCTCGGACTTTTTTCATAGCCTTAGCATGAATGAAATTGTCATTGCACCATTTTACGGAATATTTATGAAGTCTCCATTGCACATACACGTTAAGAAATGTAAGATGATCACTTTCTGGTACCTGAAAACTGCGAAAAATAGGGCATTAGATACTCCCTTCGAGTAATGAAAAACACTAAATTTTTTTCACTCTTTCTGTATTTTCCAACACTTACCAGTTGAAAAACAAATCACAAAATAGTAAGAAATTAGTTCTGCAAACAAAAATTTAGTGTGATGAAATGGAAAAATTCGAAAAAAAAGAACACATTCATAAAATTATGAACACATGCAATTTTCACGAAATACCTGAAATTTTTCTTTTTTAGCATCAGCATCATCCTCCCTACCCTTCGGACGAAAAAATATGGCAGGAACAGAAAGCATTGAAACAACCGTTAACACTTCATCACTACAACGCATCCCATCTGATACAATTAACATCTTTGATAATGTCGGATCCAATGGAAATTCTACCATTTTTCTGCCTAGATCAGTAAGTCGACCTAAAAAAAGTTTGTACACCAATTTTCATCACACAACTTGAAACAAATAATGTCATGAAATCATAAAGTGCAAACTATAAGATGTTTTTTATTACGAAACTGTCAACACCTGATTAATTAATGCATACAAAGATCTGCAACTCGATTTATCTAGTAATCAATAAAAGTAATATTTTAGTGATCCAACGACAACAAAAGTTCCTGCGTTACATAAAATACATTGACAGAGACAAAATTCATGGAATAATTTTCCTTGAAGAAATAATGAAAAGTGAATTATTTGAAACACTGACCAACATTATCTAGTGCACCCAATGTCCATAGCTGATACATGCTATTTAGCATATTATCCTGAGGAGGTGCATCCATAAAATGAAATTTTAAGAGGTCATCAACACCGAGAGATTTGAGCAATAAAATTACATTCGCAAGATTGGTTCTTTGAATCTCCGGTACAGTTGCAGATAGCATTTCTTCCTAAGAAAAAGTATCATCAAAAAAATATACGATGTGATTTAAATTGTAAGGAACCTCTCAAAGCAAACAAAATCGTTAGAAAAAATTTTTTAAAATTAGGTGGAAATACTCTGAGTATCGAAAGATACTCAAGATGATGTAGATAAATTTTTTGTTTTTTCTTTAGTAAAGTAAAATTCTTTTATTGTATTCTGATAACTTTTAAAAACAATATAACTATAACTTGAATTATGCACTCTTGATTTTTGACAAAAACATATGAAACAGTTCCAAATTTCCAAATTCCATTCTTTTAAAGAATATTTCAAAACACTGCATCTAAAGAAATACTTAGAATATATGCACACTACCTTAAACTGCCTTTCAGTATAAAGTCTGAAACACTGTCCTGGACCTGTCCGACCTGCTCGACCAGATCGTTGATTAGCCGAAGCCTGTGATATTGGAAAGACCTAAAAAAATAATTCAAAGTATTTTTGCACACAATAATTTCAATCTTTTTCTTCAACGACTATTCAACATTTCACATCCAACAGCACCTTTTGTCATAATCGTGACGCAATAAAAGTACCTGAAGTGCATCCATGCCAATACGAGGATTAAAAACTTTCAGTTTACAGTAACCAGGATCAATAACAAAAAGAATTCCATCAACTGTCAATGAGGTTTCAGCAATATTTGTCGCTACGATACATTTACGTATGCCACCTGGGGCTTTCTGAAATATTTTCGACTGCAGGTCACTTGGAAGTTGCGAATAAATTGGAAGAACAGCAAGAGGTGGAGCTTCATCAAGTTCCTCAAGTTGATTTTTGATCATTCCACATGTAACCTAAAATAAATACATGAGCCAAAAATCCCACCTCCAAAAATATAGGATAAATGTATAAATATAGCTCTGTCTATCTTAGATCGTAGTCCAGTATTAACAACTCCAGGACAAAAATTTTAATATAAATCATTAAATAACGTTCATACTTGAAACATACCTCGATATCTTCTTGCCCAGGCATAAATATTAGTATATCACCATCAGTGCCACCTAGATGCACTTTAACAGCTTGTTTCACAGCTGCATCTACATAATCTTCCATAGGCGTGCGAGCATGAAACATTTCCACAGGAAAAGTTCGACCTGTAAATACAAGTATTAATAATATCACGAAGCATGTTCTGCGTATTTTTGCAGTTACGGTTGTTATCGAATAATAAAGTTCAAAATATAATGAAAATGAACAATTCAATCAAAAAATGGATGTATTACAATTATTTTAATCATAATGATACAAAATGAAAAATAAGCATAAATTAATACGTTCACTTTATGAATAATTCATAGCGGACAACGCATTATTGACAGCTTAATAGCTAACCTGGGATATTAAAACACGGAGTATGTCCTCCAAAAAAATTAGCAAACTTCTCGGCATCCATTGTAGCTGAAGTGACAATGAGTTTAAGATCAGCTCGACGTGTAACAACATCTCGTAAAAGGCCAAAAAGCACATCAGTGTTCAATGATCTTAAAAAAAAGTTGTTTACTAAATAAAAATAAAACATTTAATGTAACATAATAAATCCATAAAAAATAAATCAGCTTTTCTGAAAAAGAAAATCAGCAGTCCATAAGTCCTACGAATATAGCTTGAAACATCCCACCGTTCATGAGCTTCGTCCATTATAACTGCAGAATACTGGTCTAAATCAGGGTCACTCAAGCATTCTCTGAGTAAAATACCATCGGTCATATACTTGATCTGCGTATTTTCTGATGTGCAATCTTCGAATCGAATAGCGTAACCACATTCCTGACCAAGTTCAACACCCATTTCTTCTGCTACCCGTTTAGCAACTGACATTGCTGCTACACGACGTGGCTGTGTACAACCTATTAGACCAGAATCACCTAAATAATTTTATGAATAATAATAAAAACAGCGAATAATTAATTGAAGCTGACAAGAGATTGTACTAATCATGAAAAAATGAAGAAAAAATAAAGAAAGCAAAACAAGAACTGAGTATTATATATTAAATTTAACAAACCATAGCCATCTTCAAGCAAATACTGAGCTAACTGCGTTGTTTTTCCACTACCTGTTTCACCGACAATTATAACAACATTATTGTCTGCAATAACACTGAGCATTTTCTGCCTTACAGCAAATACTGGCAGGTATTCGCGCTGTTCTTTAATAGATTTTTCCAAAGCAAAATCCGAAACTGCTTCTGATTCAACAAGATGTGATGCAAATTGCTGAGACTCTCTTAAAAATTAATTTAGTAATAGTAAAATGAGAAGAAAAACACAGTTTAAAAATAATATTTGCTTATTTTCTAATTCATCAGACACAAATTTTTCAAAATTTTAAAAAACAGATACTAATTCGGTTTTTCTTTTTGCATTCTTGAGTTCGCAAAAGCAAAATGTTTTCTACAATCGAGTGAGCATATAAAATACTTAATAAACAACTCACATATATGAAAAGAATTTTTATAAAGCTCAAATTTATACGGAATGAAGACTCGGAGATAAAATATCAGTTAAAGTTTTTAAAAATTATGTCAGTCATCAAGTTAAGGTCACTGCTTTTAAGCACAATTTGTTTTATTTTATTTTTCTTTTTGCTCTACAAAGCAATTCTAATTTTTAACACTAATCGAAGTTTAAAAAAGCATTCATAAGAATCATATATTGATTTTAAAAAAATACAGTTTTTGGATTCTAGAAATGATCAGACTAATTAAAGAAAGTTTTCAAACCTATAGCTTGAGCCAGCATCATCATTGCTCGTTTCATCTGGTTTCGGCTTTATGCCTATTAGGTTTCCTAATTTAGAACCTGCTAAATCCCAATGTTTTTCTTGTGCTTTTTTTCGCTCTTCTTTTTCACGCCACAAGCGTACAACCTATGAAAGAACAAACTTATTAATAAAATCTTGGCCTCTGCTGTGAGCGCCTCAGACTAAAGCGAAAAAAGAAGGAAAATTCATTATTACATCGATCAGTTACTTTTCATCAACAACTAAAAAATTATAACGTATGAGGCGAAGATTTATTATTCAATAAAAAAAAATGTATAACCTTGCTTCCTTTTGCTGCTACAACAGCAAGATCAGAAGTTACATCCTTCACAGGAATAACAGGTTTACTTTGTTTAGTAAATACAAAACGGCCATCTAGAAATGGTGGCACAACATTTTGCACCAACAATGTTACTCGATTTTCATCAGACTCATCATCGAGAAAATCATCATCATCAGTTAAAGAAACAACTCCTGAAATACTATATATTTCGCTACTACTAAAATTTAGCGGTCCCTCAGAAAGAACAACAGCATGCCACATTTACGAAAGTATAATAACATGATTCTTTTACACGTGACGTCACCCAAAAATAACTAACTGATAACCTGATCTTGCGAGACGATTATTTTCCCACATTTTATTGTCTTTCTTAATTTGCTGCTGACGAACCGTAAGACGAGGTTTTTCACGCTTTTGCTGCCACTGTTTTTCTTTTTTTTCAATATACTCTTGCGAAACCTGTAATTTTGTAAAATGAGAAAGCACAATGTAAAAAAATTTTGAAAAGAAAGAATTATTCAGCAAATATAGTAATAATCTCGAAGGTACAGTGAATAATCCTCTCCCTCAACTGCATGTTACTATTTTGATTAGCAAATGAAATGTTTAAGGTTTTTAACACTCAATAATACTAATTTTGCTCTTACTCGTCAAATTTATGATTTGTAAAATAATTATTGAATACTGTACTACTGGAAATTCTTTTACTAAAAATTTTTATGTTCAGAGCAGAAAATAAATAAAAATAAAAATTTTAGCCTGAGCAAAAGGATTATTTTCATCGTCATAACCCTGGTCATTGTCATACCACTCCCTGTCCAATTTTTGCTGCTCTCTTTCCCATTCAGCCTTTTCATAGTCATCATGAAATTCTGGAATAAGATCACCTTCTTCGACAATCGAACGAACTGTATCTACTCGATTTCTAGAACTAATACTTGAGATGAGGAGATCTGATTTAATAGAATTAGATCATTGAAATATAAGCGATGTCATTTTGTGAATAAAAAAATTACCAAAGGATTAAGAGTTACAATCAAATAACAAGTTGAATTAATTATAATATAATTAACAGAGAAATTAATGATGAGTCTCTTGCTTTTGCTTACAAGATTCACTAATAATTTTCAATTTTTATTTAAGTAATCAAGATACTTCTTTTTAGCACGGTTTCGAGGATCTTGGTTTCGCTCACTTCGCCAAATGCTTGAAACACTACGCTCAGACATAGCGCCATCATTATGACTAGATGGAGTTGGTGTATCCCAACTAGAACGATATCTTTTTGACATTAATCCTGAATCATCCTCTTCCCAGGCTGAACGTGAAGGAGTGTTTGGCACCTATGTTAACAAACAAATAATTCAAGCAAACAAACTAAAAAAGTGAATCCATCACAATTAAATATTATAGTAAAACTTACTTTAAATAAAGGTGTTTCTGCACTTTTATTTCGGGAAGTCCGACGACTTAAGTTTTGTTTATCGCGATATTTTTTTTCATTATAATGATGACTTTTATGTCTGCGTTCATCCTTTTTCGTGTAAGCGTAAAGTCCACGTTTCTCACCTTTATACTTTTCTTGTACATATCTGAAATGTTTACTTTTACAAAGGCAATGAACATTCATGCAAAAGGTAAGGTGAGTTGTATTTCAACGATAAATAGTGGGAATTAATAACTGAGATAGTTATAATAACTACGATCTATCAATGAGATACATCGTTCAACAGCAAAAATGAAGCTAAAAGAAACTGGTAAATCAAATGAAAATATATACTACATCCCTAACAATTTATGTGCATCTCATGAATACTAATTATTTTAAAAATAAATCCAATGAAATAATTTACAAGAAATCAATAGGTAAAATTATTAAAGAAGTCACTAAATATTTTTTCGTTCAAAAAAATCTAAATGTATTCAAATTCAAAGTGCTCTTGGAATACAACTTCCAATTTTCCATGCATTCTCGCGGCTCCTGAAAGTTTTTCCAAATGATTCGAAAGAACTTACTCTGTAATTTTCTCATGAACACTTCTAGACAAGCCATCTGGAGATTCATCTTTTACTTGCCGCCTTCTGTAGTGTGCATCAGTTCGTGTTCGAGCCTTAACCAGCCTCTCCAAACCAAGAAGTGATCTGCCTGGGTGTTTGAAAACTTCCTGACTATCCGACTTTTTCTTCCGAATCACTAAGCCACCTTTTATGTTTGAGCTCCCTTCCAAACGATTTACACCATCTTCATTACTATCCATCTCCCTTAGAAAATCAGTATTAGACTCTGAATGCATTTCAATCTGACAGCACTAGATATACGCGTAAGCGCAAATTTCTCCATAAAGTCATAAGTCAGTGATCGTCAGATCTGATCATTTATAGCTTTGCTAACTTCGCTGGTACATTTTTTCATCCTTGATTTCTAATACTAGGCGAAATTTTACACAATATTACAACCTGAAGGGCTCCAGCTCATCAGATATTTTTTGAGTTGTTGGAAAATATGTCAAGCAATACAGTACTGGATACGTGTCTGTAAATTCAGATGTCAAGTTCAAGAAATTTTTTTTTATTCTTCGTGAGCAAATTTCGTTATAAATATGTGCAAATATACCGAATATACAATACTGAATGCAGTATAACATAAACATACCACTTAAAAATGATCAACACTGTAAAGTAAACTATAAAGTCAATGTACAAAACAATTTTTTCCGACAATCACTGCACTTATACTATGAGAACAATATTCTAATTACTCATTTTAAAAACAATGTAATGCTACCTTCACTCTCAACAATTGAGACGGCAAATATATTGCAATCAAACATGATCAACTTTCTTCAAAATGGAATTTATCACAAAATTAGACCCTAGTCTCAAACTTCATCAAACATTAATACAGAAACGCTATCAACATTCAATAATCCTACCAATTATGAAGAATGAAGGAAATCCCTCCAGTTTATAAAATTAAAGAAAATTTAGAAACATCCGATGCAAACTAAACTGAGAGCAAAATTTTGCTGATTGCAGACTAAATATTTCGGCACCATACACCAATTTAAAATGCCCAATGCAGCTTCTGTTTTCAAAATATAAATCGAGTCACAGACTAATTTTTTGATGCAAACCTTAATTTTTTCTAAAATAATTGATACTCAGAATTCTGATGTAAAAAATGGTACAAACTAGATAAAAATTTCGCCTCTGAACGAATAATTATAAAAAGAAATGAAAGACGCGCAAGGCATTGATAGAATGTATGATCAATTTTGTCAATTACTAATTAAATAGATTGCTATATGAAAGATGCGACCCTCTACTGGCGAAATTTAGAATTCATACATCCTTCTCAAAAACATTTCGGAATTACGAAGTTATTTTAGTTCAATGCATATCAAAAGATTAAGAAATATAACGCGAGCAAACTGAATAGTTTTATAGAATGAGATAGAAAGTTAAAGCTTTGACTTTTAGGCTTGAACATGGCTTATCATTCTGAAATGCAATAGACATGAAATCGATCGATTTTCAAAGTAGAGAAACGCTTAACATTCATATACATGACAGACTTAATTCAATACAAATTTAGACAGCAATCATTACCAAAGCAAAAACTAAATCTGTAAGTCTACGAAGATTCGATTCAAAAACACTTGAGTAACACTGAAATCCAACAAATAATCAGTCTTCATATAAAATTTACAACTCACCAGTGACCTAAGTTAGAATCACGGACCTTACTCTTCAGCAGAACCTCACATAAAATTTTGTATTTGCAACGAATAGTCACGATTTTCCAGAGTTGTGAAAATAATTAAGAACATCGAGTTACAAAAACATGAATTCGCCATAGAAATTTTCACTATTACTTATTGGAAATCAGAAAAATATCCTGAAAAAACAGAATCAATGAACAAGCAAAAATTATTTATGTGCACGTGTTGTTCTACGAGGAAATGTATTGTACATTGCATCTGATGGTGAAGATAGTTCAGCAGGTGTTTTTCGGGGCCTTAAACTGCGACGTACGCGAGGTACTGAGCTTTGCTCTTCATGTTCGTGTTCTTCATCCTTAAACTGACGAGTGTTAAAAAGCATGTTTAATTACAATGATGAAGAAAGGAACTAGGAGTTTACTGATGCGAAAAAAAACAAACAGAAGAATGAGATATAATCACTTAAAAATTATAAACACTAGTTACGAGTTAAAAATAGTTAATGGTAGGGCGATGATAAGATATCATATTTTATTAAATTGCGAAATTCAATGCATGTTCTATTCGCAAACATTCAGCAATTCCAACCTTCCTTAAATGAGCTACTTCTCCAACTAGACAATAATTGTAAAGGGATTGCATTTGTCGTTACGTACGAATAAACAAAAAATGGCTAGCACAATAATCTTGTTAAACTTTTCATCAGGAAAACTTTATAAATATTTTGACGCAGAAGATCTATCAGCTTTTTAAATCTAAAATTATATCCCTCCATCAATTACAAATATCCGTCTTATTTTTTTCATACGCCATTAGAGAATGGATTAACAATAACTTAACTCATTACATTCTACGAATAACAAAACTTACGATACTGGCTTCCTCATCCAAAGTGCCCAAAGTATCATTTTCATTCCAATCATCTTCATCTTCTTCTTGTATTTCTGTCACATGGATTCGAGCCGAAGACGTTGACTCTCTTGAATTTAAATTTGCTTACAACAAAAATGTATGATATTAAAATGCGCGACAAAATTGCATCTGAAAATAACTATAGACCACTTAATGAATGATTCATAAGAATTATTTCTGAACAGTAAATCATCGTACCTATTACTGATATCGCTTGCACTGTATGAACGCTGTATTTGCTGTACAAGTTGTGCTTGCCCTCGTAATGCTGCTGTTGCAATAATTTCGCGAGCACACAGAATACCCCTGCTACCTAATCGCATTACCTAAATAAATAAATACCAACATTCAAATTATTTCATCGTTTAAGAATACAAGATTTTCAGCCTTAAATAGAGAGTAAAATGAAGCAATTTTTATCAAAAGAAGTCAGCTTCGGAAATTTGTTCAACTAAAATCTTACCAAATATTTTTTGCCTTTAAATCACATTGTTTACAGTGCCATAAACAACTTATGTACAATTTTTACAGTTTTAACAGGAAGCAAATCACTTTGTAGTCATACAAAGTCAGAAACATTAAATATTTATCACTAAGAAAAATGTTATTGCTTTTAATCGTTACTCATTAATCAAAGCATACAAATTTCCAGCTGTGCCCAAAAACTTGCGAACAAAAAGTGGTATAACAGTGGCACCTGATAAATTTATTTTACTTCACTTCATATCTCTCAAATTACAAATTAATTTCAGCTCAATTTCTTGGCTTACTAATGAAATAATGACAACAAACCTGATTATAGCTTTCAGACTTAGCATGCTCTAGAAGCAAATCAATATCTCGTTCGTGCTTTGTGAGAGTTGGATGTACCCACTAAAAGAAAGAAATTGCAAATAATTATCGAACTCCAAACACTAAGTAATGATTAGATCTTCAAATGCTTTCAGTCCAGTTTTATATTCATTATCAAAACTCGAAATAGTTGTTTTCCAGTGTAAATACGGTTCTTATAAGAATTGAATACAGTATGAAGTGAAGTACTTACTTTTCTATATAAAATTGAAGCTCCTTTGGTCCAAGGACTCAACAACCAGAGGACAAAAAAAATTTTTAATTCATAATAAAAAGGAAGCCAAAAGGAAACAATAATATCAGCAATCGTTTCAATGAAACAAAAAAAAGCGAACACAATCCAGTACATCATCCATTTGACATATTCCCTTACATCCTGCAACTGATATAAATCCCAATTAATAACTTTTAAATCCCATCTTTTGTTGCCATTCACAAAATATAGTGCAACTATTCTGTGGTTGAAATAATTCTGAAGGTTTTTTTTAATTACTTTTAACCTGAAATGACCATGTAACTACTATACAACGAAGAATTTTTTTAAGGTACAGTAAATATTTTAGTCCACGTAAAATCATGTTTTCAGCTTTTGTCACTGCTTAATCTAAATATATAAATTTCTACTGCCCCTTTTATTTGGTCTAAAAACTTACAAACAAGAAATGATACAATAGTAACACCTGTTTAAATTTGTATTTCCAGTGTTTTCAACCCTTTGAGCAATAATAAATCAAAAACACAATTCTGTACAAAAGATGAAAATATAAAGCAGAAAATGAAGAATTTAAAAAAAATAATACAAATTTTTATACAAATTTTTACGAATGTTTAAATATATTATAAAAACTTATCATATTCTTTTTACTCAACAGTAAAAGAAAAAAATCCCACAACACATTTAATACAACAAGCTTTTTTCATTGTTAAATGAAAGAGTCATAAAGCATTCCATTCAAATATTATTAAGTACTGAAGCAAAGTTTCAGCAAACTATCTCAGTAATATTTTTGAACTCAAAGTAGAAAAGACAAAACTTTTATACTGCAATATTAAAAATATTACAAAAGCGAACCTTTGTTTTAACAGCTTTATAACTTCTATACGCTGGATATAAAGTTCCTGCTGTAAGTACAACAATTCTTGACAGAAACACAGAAACCATTCCAATTATTTATCTAAAATAACATTCAAATGTATGGATGAGCAGACCTTCTTTCAATGCATGCATGGATTATAATTGAAACAAGCAGAAATATCGAAATAAAAATAATCCAATGTTAAGCAAATGTAATTTACCACTATGATTACAAAAGAATACTAACTGCTAACAAGATTTGCAGAGCAGTACTTGAATACTTAAATTTCATCTCATACACTTTAATTTTCTAATTTGGTGTTTTTAAAAGTAATAAAAAAGAAAGAAAAGTTATAATCATTTACCATTACAACTTATGCAACTGATCACCTGATGAAGAAAGTCATAACTTTACTTTTGCTCAATTCTTATTTCATTTAACTTCCGTTAGGTCGAACTTTGCTTTCCGTCTTAATCTTCGTGCAATTCGCACACTCAGTAAGCGAAATAGTAAAAAGCTAGATACACTTGATAGATTGCTTGTGCTGCGTAAGCTGTTTTGGTACTTGACGTACGTGAAAGTTTATTTTATGTTTTATAAAATCACTCGGCTCATTTTATAGTAGTTTTAAGACTGCAATATATTGTTAACGAAATATTTTCTGATTTGTGGACTGTTGGCATAACAAAATGTTTGAGGGTAAAGTTAGTCACACAGATATCAGTTGATACAATCTTCGACTGTTTTGATTTTTGCATTTCATTAATAGCTAAAATTTGTACCAAATTCCGAGCTGTAATATAGTTGTAATAGTTAATTTTGTTTTATGGCACTCCCATTTTTGCCTTTACAGTTTGTGAGCTCAATAAAAATGCTTTTCTGTATTTTATTCAAAATATAGCAAATATATTATAAATATAAGTGATATAAAATTTACATTTAACAAATTAAGCAAATGGAGAGAAAATTGTAAATTTACTCGCTTGATTAGAATAAAATGCAAAAAAAAAAATTTCAACTAATTATATCAAATGAAATAAATCTCATTATTTTAAAAAACTACAGGAGTACTAAGCTTTTTTCTTGATTTATCATGCTTTTGAATGATTGCAATAAGCATATTTAATATAAAAATACATTATCCTTCCACAAAATTGTATAATTAAATAGCATAATTAATTTGATTTATTTTCTAGGCTCTATTTTTTCCAAAGATCAAAGAATTTTAAGTTGATTTTAATTAAAAGTAATTTGAGATCACAACGCGGAAGAAGAAATAATAGTTGTTAGTAATAATCTGATACTCTTTCTTATTGTTACTAGCAAAGTTAGTTAGTTCTGCAAAATCAAAATAAGGACAGAGAAAGAAATGAAATTACTGAAAATACAATTCTGAAGCGAAATATAGAAATATAGAGTAGCGAAGAATTTCTAAGAGAAAGCTTTTCTAATGGAATTCAATTGCATAATTAATTTTATTCATTGAGTACAATTTGTGTTAGTCTTGAAAATTTCTTAATGTATTATTAACTGTTTATTTGGCTAGATTCTTGGTAGATTTTATTCCTTTTAAAGAAGCAAAACTAGAAGAAGTAAACGTTTGTTTATATGCGATACCACACAATAAACAATTATCGGCTTTTCATTGCAAATGTTGATGAACAAACATGTGGCGGAAAGGGCATAATCTAGCAGCTATTGACTTGATTTGTGAGTTTAACACTGATAATTATCATTTTCTTTCATTTTTCTATGATCTTTGAAGTCTGTAAATTTTGTTTTCAATTCAACAAAACAATAAATTTTAAATTGTCAGGAATAATCATAGAATTTTGATTTTTATTGTATTGCTAAGCAGAAGAACGAAAATTTTCCATTTTAAAAGCCAGAAATAATCAGTCGGATAACTTAAAAATTCTCAGAATTTGCATTTAATATAGATAAATCAGATAATTGAAAATTCTTTAAGACTTTTATATTTACTTAATGTGAATGCATTACAAATTACTTATGGAAATGAAGTTTTAGATTAACAATATACGACATGTTTTATTTCCTTTACAATCTCAAATGACTCAGAATGATTTTAGTTTTGTTTTTATTTTGACACAAAACATTCTGTTTTTGTAGATGATAAAAGTACAACAGATAAACTGAATTGGCACTAAATTTTTCCAGAAATTTAAATTGAGAATAGTAATGTTTCTAACATACTATAAATTAGTACACGCTTCACAAACGTTTGAATTACGTAAAAGTTATCCAGTATATGTTGCTTTTGATCTTATATTTTAGTATTCTTCACATTACGCAACGTTAATTTATTAAATGGCGCAAGAAGTTTTGATCCAAATACAAATGATCACATGTTATTATATAAGATCAAAAACATTCATTTATTAATTAAATCTAATTACTACATGTTACTGAAGGATTCTGTAAAAATAAACTGTGCTAAATAAGTAATTACTTGGAAAAAGACTTATTCATTATCACAGCATAAGCTAAAAGAAGTAGATGAAAAATAATTTGATTAAAATTATATGGAAGAACTTCCCGATATACGTACAAGGACAATTACGGTTGACATGACCAATAATTACTTTCAGAATTTTTTTGTTTGCAATGCAATTGAAGAACCATTCATACTCGATGATGTGTTTAGATTTTTGCACATAATTTACAAAGCACTACCCAGTCTAATTATTCCCGAATAAAATTGCAGTAACTTTTTGAATAAATGATTATGACATTACTTTAGAGTAATTCTATCGGGATTTGATGTTGCATATTAGTATTTATGTACTCGATCAATGTATGTTAAGCTTTATATGTTGTATTAAGCAAAAATTACACAAATCAAACAAGTTTTTGATTGACTTTTGCATTACTGCTCTTTCACCTTTGCTCACTCTCATTTCACATTTTAGAAATTTTTACAAATTTAAAACGACCTTAACATAATAACTAAAAATGATTATTTAAATATAACAGTTCTGCAAAGACTAAGAATAATCTGAAATGGACTTACGACAAAGAACATGCAAACAAATGTGTGAATAGAGAGAGCAACGTTACGAATTAACAAGAACTAGTTTACTATACGTCAACTCTATCGGCAGATGTGGTTTCCCAAGTTCTGATACCATATAAGATAAAATTACTTTACATCTATCTCTTCACACAGTACTACTCTTACTCTTATTCCAACTGATCAACATTATTATTTGTCCATTAGTAACGAGCAAAATAATTATTCGATATGAATTCATAATTAGAACGAGATTGCAGCAATGCTATTAGCATTATCACATACACACATACACGCACATATGTGGTCATAGCAACAAAGATCAGACATAGCGAACACGCAAAATAGATCATTAATTGTTTTACACACATAATGAAGTTTTATTGAAAGATTACTCAAGCCTTTACAAGCACAGTGTATGTCTTACACTTCACTTATTTTACAAAAATGAACTTTTTAGCGACTCAATGTTTTGGAATATATTTAAAACTCAAAGAGTGAACGTGAAGAGCATACCATACAAAAACCTTGCAAAAAATAATACCAGCACATACTTGACTAAAAAGAAAAATCTTGTTACCATGCGAAGAAACTATGCGCTCAAGTTTAGCAGCAATGAGAATATTATGGTATGGTATGGTATGATATGGTATGGTATGGTATGGTATGGTATGGTATGGTATGGTATGGTGTGGTGTGGTGTGGTGAAGAAGAATAATAGCATACTTAATAAACTTATTCATAACTGTATTCTGTATTAGTCAACCAACTGAATGCTAACAAATGGTGCAAATATACGGGGAAAAAATATGTAAATGACGAAGCTTACTTCAAATGAACAATAATGCATTTTATTACTTTAATTGATAAGACCTGGTAATACTTGATATTTAAATGTGAACAAACGCAAGTAAGTGCAGAGCAATTTAGACTGAAGTGAGTTTTGATCATTTGAATAATGATGAGCAAAAAATAACAATTCAAATAGTGATTGAAGACAGGCTTATATGGATTTGCAGTAGTAATGACTTAATATGACCTCGAACCAGAATTACTATACTTGCTGAAGTTATAAAAATCAACTGGAAATTTCATCGTCAATAAAGTTGTATGCTTGAATTTAAAAAGTTCACTTCCTTTTTTTCATCACTTTACCTACAATAACTATCATTTATAATACTGTGTGAAGCAATAATTACACCATAGCATAATAAATGTAATTTATTTAATTGTGTAACTGATTACAAAGCTTCTTGTATTGAACTTGCTTCTTACTAATTACTACTAGATATTGAACAAAGACTGAAGAGAAGAAGTAAATAAGCAGATGGAAATAAAGTGTACATCAGCTTAAGCTTAAACTTCATTTGACTATTACTCTTCAACTGCTCCTTTTTATTCCTCATTCTTTTCCAGCTTTTAACTCTTCTCCTACGCACTCTCATACTTACAAATTATCATTCAGTTATCATACAATCACTGTAATTGTACTGTGTGCAAACAAAAAAATTGAGACTGTACGAATGCTTCTGTAAATACAATAAGAGGAATATATACCAATACACACTACTATTGTTAGTAGAACTGTGTCTGAAATGAAGAACAATTTTTTAAAATTGCAGAGAGGCGAAAAGCACTAAAAGCTTTCCTTCTTCCTACAACTGCTATTTTGAATTTCATTTAACTAAAGTTACAATAACTAAAAAGTGTGATGAATTACAGCAAATGCTGCGAAGGTTTAAAAAAGAAATAAACTAAGAGATGGATCTTCATATAATAAACATTGTAAATTTTCTTTTAAAACTTCTAAAATCCTTGAAAACACTGAGCTTTCTTGGCTTTCAACCAAACTGTATACTACTGTTAACTGTATTTTGTTTGCTGAGTTCAAGTAAGTTACCATACCTCACATCATTACAGCATTGCTCTTATAAATTTTATTAACAAATAACTAACTGGTAAATATATAAATAAAGTTTACATTTCTTACTAAAACAAACCAGAAGCTTAGCACTTTTACAACTTCCCAGACACTAATTACTTGTATACGGTAAATAATGAGTATTCTGCTCTTAAAACTGTAATCATAAAGTATTACGTTTTAACCGTTGTGTAATTACAAATTATATAATAAATGATACATATAGATGCATATTCTAGTATTCTATTTAATATTTTAATTACTAGTGAGCAAATTATAGTATCGATTATGCAGACATTATGCAGATTACCATATTCAGCAACGCACTAAATAATTCGTTCCATACATTCTACATACACTAATACTAGTTTTTTTACGTTCAAGAGAACGATATATGATCAAAAAATCCTTCAAAAATCTCAGCTCCCAATTCTCCATAATTTCAAAAACCATAATTACACAAATCAATATTTATCATTTAAAAATCAAAATTATCTAAAAAGCAAATAATAGGCAAAAAATTGTTTCCTCTTCGCTACAAAAGTTCAATTAGAAATCAGACAGTCATTTTCATAAATGCAACAACATACATACAGTAATAATAATTAATTGCAAACGAATAGCACCCATCACTCAATCATAATCCACCTCAAAGAACATTTCAATGCACAAAACAGCTGTAATGTAAAATGTTTTATTAAATAATTCTTACATAAAATGTAAGTATGTGTATTTGTTTGCCTGACTGTTAGCTATCCTCTTTTCCTGAAATAAATAAAACAATGACATACTCATTCAAATTTCAACAAAATACAAAAAATAATTTCAGCAACACAATAAATGTTGCACAAAAATGTTCAAACATTTCTAATACAGCATTATTTCAAGTAATATAAAACTACTTTGGCTATAATAAGCATTATTTACGGTACAAAAAAACAACAGGTAACAATATATTTTATTTTACTTGTCATGCATTCAGCAATGATAAAATTTTTTGAAATTCATGAACTGAATCCATCAAATAAAGCATTTATTCAACTACTTCAATATAATACATTTGTACTAATAAAACTAATCACAGTCAGATCAGACACGTATGACACAAAGCTGTACAGAATAATGTCCACACTTTTTTTACAAGCATAAAAATAATCTCAAAAGAACTAGCTTTAGAATAATACTTGAGAATCAACTTGGACCCAACTAGACTCTTCCATTTTTATATGTGATCGAAGACAGAAATCCAATAACTGACACAGAGATGTAAAGAATACATCTTTATTTGCATAAAATATTTCACAGAGATCTGAATGGGCTTCTTTTGAAATTTCAATAAATTCCATCCCATAGACAGCAAATTTAACAAAATTAAAATATTTGATATGATCTCCGAATTGGTCTATTATTGGTCTTTTAGGCCTTGAAATGCATCTTCATATACATTTGTACTTCATAAATGACACTACTGAATTGATGCATCAAACAAATCATTAGTAAATTTAAATGCTTCATGAAAAAGCAGAATACTTCATTACTAAGGTTACATTATACCTGCCATGCCTCGACAAAAAATCAAACTTTGCTAATTTAAGAAATACTCATTACTAAAAGCATCGCACGACACGCATTTTTCAATAATCCACGAATACACAAAACAATACGTCTTTGAAAATTTATAAAACAATAATTATTGGTCTATAAATTCTACAGTACAAAATAAAAAACATTTCCACAAATTGCTGAGCTCAAGATAAAAGTTATGACTGACCTTGATTACATTACTATTAAGTTATCAATAATATTTTCTGATAATAAACGCTCTCTGACTTCGTTTGGCAGTACTATACGTCTATCCTTTTTATTTTTGCCTGACTATTACTGATCTCACCAAAATTCATTAACCATGACGGTGCTTTTGGCATTGCAAATTTCATATTTTCATTGTCCTTTCCTAACACTAAATATCATCAAACTGATCTCTCACACATATTGTCACTACAACTTCGAAAATTGCAAAGTTAAAATGAATGAAGTTATAAAAGAAGTAAAAATAAAGGAACTAAATCTAACATGTCTAAAAATATAGAAGCGTTAGACTCCATTTATGTCAAAAAAGATACTTGTACCCATAAAAAAAATTTAGGCGCTGAATGCTGGAAGAAAGTTTGAAATTTATGATTTCCATACTTTCAATTAATTACGTTGCTGTACAATCAAAAATAAAACTACTGCTGCGTAACATGATCTGCCAAGTTCAACTATATAAACAAAATTTTTTAAAAAAGTTTGCTATTTCTAATTTGCAAATTTCAGAAAATTCAAAAATCATCAAAATTCATTTCTTCGTCACATACAGGCTTGAGCAATTTTACTATTAAACAGAAACAAAATCTCTTGTATACAATTTTTTTACTGTTTTAAGTATAAATTTGTTGAGGATTTGCAGTGTCGTCAGGTAAGTCGTCAACAAGATATGTGGTACCATTTTCAGTTTCAGAGGAATTTATGCTTGACGGCCTATGAATTAAAATTTGTAGATGGCGTAGCGATATATTCACATCGCGGAATAATTGCATCTGAAAATTATTAAAATAAGAAAGTTTTTTTTCGAAATTCCCTTTATAAGTTTGACTTATCCAAAAAATATCTAAAAAAGTTCAGATAGGACTGAATTTCAGAGCTTATAAGTGCTGCATCATTTCACCTGAAAAATCCCAATGATTGTAATCAGAAAACCGACAATATTGCCCAAAATATCACTTGCTGCCAGACGAGACCATTCTTTGTATAAAATCGATGAGGCCAGTATGACAAATGTCGTGAAGAAAACATAATATATAGGCGTTACCATTGACGTATTGTAAATATCCAAAGATTTATTCAAATATATCTACAAAATATAATAATATTTTACGAAGCAGTCAATATTTTCATTCCTCGTCTATGTGACGACTGCTAATTTTATTCTGTTATTCATTAGGGCAGCGTTCAATTTCAAACATACAGTCTTTCTAATTATTTTATTTTTTAAAGGGATATATAAGAGGCTTAAAAATCAAAAATGTGATATTTATAAATGAAGCTTCAAAGCATTCATTTTCTGTCATTCTTCTATAATCTTCTGTATATTTATACAACGTATTATTCAATATTGTCTTTCAAACAAATCACCTTTTTAAATAACAAATACAAGTATAACTATCCCCAAACATTTTTTCTAAATCACAATAAATTTAGCTAGGAGTATGATTTAATGAATTCTGCTTCACCACACTCTTTTCTTATCCTACTATGAATGAGAAATATTTTTCCAAATGGATTGCAATAAAAAACTCCTTCATATTCACTAATTAAGACCAATTAATGAAGTGAAAGTTTACCAGCTGTATTGCAACACAAAAAATAACAGCAACAAGCCAAAACCACGTTAGTAAGTTGGTAAACTGCTGCTTTCCACTTATCGTTTCCTTTATAGCCAAACCAAGACCCTTGACGGATAGAACTGAGAGAGAGCCAATAATGGAACAAATAAATATATACACCAATATATTGGAATGGCCAAAATGAGGTGCTATACAAATAATCATTACCATCGAAACCAAAACCACTGCTGCGACATAAAAAATAAAACCTGAAAAATTTTATAATAGAAAATTCAGCTAAATTTTTAAATCATTTCTTAAAATAGGTTTTATAATTTCTTTTCTAGAAGGAAATAGACATATTCAGGAATCTGAATGAAAAATTAGCATGAAATCAATACAGAAGATAATTAATTTTAGCTGGTAACCATAATACTGGATAATAAAGAGGAAATTCTTCCCACTTTAACTGAAAAAAATTGAAATTGGAAAAATTGACTGTCAAAATTCAACGAGAAAAACAGATTTTGCAAAACAACGAAACAAATGGATTTTGAATAGAATATGCAATAATTTAAATCATCATTTCAAGTAACAACAAACAAAAGACCTATATCCCTCATTTTAAGAGCTAATTCTGCCATATTGGAAACTTCTTCTTCCTTTGGTGAATGTATCACAACAACTGTTGAACCGAGAAGACATACAGCACAACCGATCTTACCCAATAAGTTTAGACGTTCTTTGAGCAATTTTGACGACAGTATGGCTCTTAAAATTGAATAAACTTTTATTATGCAATTAATGTCCTGATAGAAAACTTTTTTGTTTTCTCTTTACACTTTTGAAGGATTTGTACATTAAACAGCAATTTATTGGCCACAAATACATGAAAAATTTAGTTTCTTGAACCCAACATTTCAAAAATAGATACTACGATTCTACTTTTTACAAGGTTGTTCAAGTATGAAATGAAAAAAACAGAGCATATATTAAAGCAGATTTGAGACTTAGCACTATTTTCATTATCACATAAAATTTGTTACACAAATTGAGTGAAACATACGTTACAATAACGCTGAGCGCACCAAGTGGAGTCACCAAACTCGCAGGTGCAAAAGCATATGCAGCGAAATTACATGCTTCACCGGCACCCACTGCAACACTAAATTTGAATATATCAATAATGCTGACAATAATTTTCTTAACTTTAATTCCGTTGTTAACAGTCAGTCACGATTAAGTAGTGGAATACAATGAGGCTAATCAAATTTTGCTTTTTCAGCAAAACAAGCAATATAAAAACTTACTCGTCAATACTCCCAACCACCACAGCCATTCCCGTAAATAGCCGTACCCACCTTCAGATGCACGATGGAAGTAGTCATTTCGAGCAAGTTTGATCAGGGCCTTTTTTTTAATAATAAATGAACTACCAATAAATAAAGACGATGAAATAGCCAAACCAAGACCAATATAAAAATCTAGCCTTGGATAAACTGATGAAGACAGATATGAAGTGCCATTACCTTCCACTGCATTATCGTTAGTTCTATCAGCAGTTGAAAAATTCATACTAAAATTATTTTTGCAGTCAAGTTTTTATGCAACAATTTTCACAAAGATCAAACTGACGATGTAAAAAGAAAAACGCACTAAAACTTGAAATATTTCATAGTGAAATTCCATGAAACTCCTAATTTCTTCATTTTCAAAGAAAAAATTACAATGCAAACAAAAGAATAGCAAAAAATTCAAGCATTTAAAAAGAAAATTGCCACTGAGTTTAAGAAAAAAAGCCCGAAAGCACTATAGAAAAAAACACGATAACAGCACTGATAACAAAAGCAGAACTGTCTAACGCTTGCAACATAATGACGTTCTTTTCTGCTTTTTTATGGAATATCAAAATGAAACAGCTGTGGTCTGCTTACTAAAAATGAAGCAGATAAAGTTTCTGCATGAAATAATAAAAGGTTAGCTGCAAGCTATATGCATGAATGAGAGTCAGTACTCTACATTTTTCGCTCTTTTCTAATCAACAACTTCTCATTTCTTACTGAAAAAACACTGTTTTAACCAAGTATTACTTCTTAATCTACCAAAAACTACAACAGAAATCTGTACAGAAATACCATCATAAATAAATAGGATTGTAGATTTTAATAGTATCCGAGAAAGATATATACACGCCTACTGCATGCTACAGTTATTTATTTGTAGAAACTTTATGCATTTAAAAATTATTTAAGACATACAAAATTTCAATGTAATTAATGAATTATTTTCATCGACTGAAGTACGAAAAGTGTAAATTTATATAAATATGCTTAAATAAATGCTCAACATACAATTAAAATCGCAAGCACCTCGTATTAGTTATAAAAATGCAGAAAAAATCTATTAAATGAAAAGAAAAAATAACAAGCATTGGTCAAATAATAAAAAATGAAATGGAAATTCTGAAAAATAAATAAAAGCTGCTGAAAGTGAAGAAGCATATAATTACTCTGCAACACAAAACGAGTCAGCCAGCATTTTGCATAAACGTATTAGATTGAAAAAAATACTGATAAGGTTTCAAACTAATTTTGATGAAAATTATTAATTACTAGCAAAGCCTAGCTGGAGCAAGTGTGGGATTTTAAAAACAGTTTTTACTTATTACACTGAAATAAAAATTTTCATATAAATATGACTGCAGAATTGTTGCCATGGGAATTTCTGCTATTTTAAAACAGTTTATAAAAAATAATAGGAAACAAAGCAATTTAATGGATGATTGCTAACGAAAAAGATTATTTTAATACAATTTAACAAGCTAGATTGACGTAAAACAGTTTTTTCTTCAAATAAAACTTTGACAACGTAAAGTAAGAACTATGAATTAGGTAAACAAAACAATCCATCAGATTTTTGTTGACAATACCGGTTGTAATAATATTCAACACCTACAACAATACAAAAATGAGCTTACATGAGAAAGGAACTGTTCATTGACATAACTTCTTTTAACGAATCTTTTGCGTCTTTCATCGGGACTGACTGATGAAAAATATGTGATTCCATTTGATCTAAAAATCATTTTTCAGTCAGACACTGCTATTATAGCAACATTACAGACAATTCGTTGCACAAAAAAGAACAACTTTTATCATATCATTCTTTGTGCATAATAGTTCACCTACTATATTTAAAATGAAAAATATTCATGTGAAAATTTCAGCAAAATCAAGCGGAAAAAATATCCAAAGACTGAAAAATGCATAATGGTATTATAGCCTGCTTAGATGAATGCAAAAAAAGGAAAAATGCGATCAATAATTAGATAACAAATTACTCCATAAGTAATTAAATTTCCAAGTACAACAAACAAATACTTCAGTGAAATTCATTCATGTTATTAAAATATTTTCTATTTTTTTACAGTCTATAATATAACAAGAGTATGTACAGTAACACATTAACATCAACACATAACTTTCTAATACTAATTAATCTCACACAATTATACATACAGAACATCGTAATCCTTATAAAATATATATGCATAAAACTTTACTACTTTATAGAATTGAGTAGATAGATAGAATAAAAATTGTCAATCACCAGTGTCGTTTTCAGCCTCTAACGAACATTATATAAAACAGTGCAGAATGAAATCAAAATCCATGTAATGTAAATCAAGTCCTTAAAATCGCTGTTGGTTAATTAACTCGTACTTATGCTCAACATAATCATCGAAATCTCCCATAGCTACCGATTACAGCTAATGCTATGCAAAAAAATAGACAAAAACAAGTATCCCAGATAGCATCCTCAAGCAAGAGTGATAAGCACGTGTAGAGAGAATAACAAAAGAATGTCGGGCACCCACCGACAAACATGACAACCTTTCTCTCAGCTATTCATGCTAACATATAGCACAAAGATTAGCAGAAAGCTTAATGCGAACTATCCACAATTTTTATGTGTCCAAAGCATACCTCAACTACCCATCAGTCATTATCGGTGAAATCGTTTGTTTAGTGACGCAAGCACTTTCCACCCCACTAATGATTAACTTCAACCGTCTTCTAAATTATATCCTAAAATTCCACCTCTTTTATTTGAACATATTGCTGCATCAAGTAGCGTTCTGCAAAGCATTTATTGACATCAACTGGAAACGTCAGTCACACCTTAATGACACCACCTTAGATTCTTTTAAAAAAAACTTTGTGTAAGAGAAACATTCTTAACAGAGGTAAAATACTTGACTATTGATATCTTTAAGCAACCTAACGCATGACTCCATATACCGGACAAAAATAGAAGAATTATGAGTGACACGTGTCTGGTCCAATAAACACCATTATTATTAAAACATATTTTAATAGAAAATCTGCATTTCTGCAACATTAATAGATCCATGATGAGAGAGAATGAAATGAATAAGATTTTCTAGTTATCTAAATTCCATTTTTCTTTAACGAAGTCAAAAATATTATCAAAAAAGATAAAATTTGTGATCAAAAGACATACAACAGTAATTAACTTTTATTCGCCAAAAACATTAATACAGTAAATACATGAAGTGCAGTAAGAGGAAGCAAACAAAAAGAGTGGAAGAGCCCCATTATTTCTTATCAAAAAATAAAAAACAAAGATACCCACTTCAAAAGTTGAAGGTTTAATCAGAAAAAGTGCAACACTTCCAGTCTTTTATTCCAATACTGAGTTAATTTTTCGAGACAGACACAAAAATTCTCAAACCTATAAGCTAACGCAACAACATAGCATCTTCCAAATTTTCCTGATCCTTTCCTCCTATGTGAATTTTTTCATTTTCTGGAGAAGGTTCTACAACTGGTGCAATTTCTACTACTCTTTCTGTAGTGGTTAGTTTTTGAAAACTCTCCGCTGTTTTCCTTGCTACATTTTCCGCCTGAAAATATTCAAGAAAGTGGATGATATTTTGGAAAAGCAACTTTAAAAAACTAAATCTTAGTCAGAAGAAAATGCTTTGATTTCATGGTGTGAAATAATATCTAAACAGAAAATTTCATTATCTTAACATTCTTATGTATAAGCAACAAAATTATAACCTTACCTTATCTTTTAACAACTTTTCATAGACTGGGCGATAAACTTCATGATACTGTTTAATACAATCTTTTGTTGCTTTCAGAAAATCATCAATTCCCTCTCCGGTAAGTGAGGAAACTGTAGTAATCATGTAAAATTTACATTCAATCAAACACATTTCCTTACTTAAGACATCTTTTTTTCATTTTCTTTGATTCAGTGCAATATACTGACAAACAGAATCACATTTCACTAGATTTTAGGGGTTTTTAGTAGCTCTGAAAAGTCGTCAACAACTAATATTTCAAAGCAAAGCTTCGATGTTTTTTACGCCTTAATTTTAGAATTAAATATAAACAGAGGAAAATATTCAGTTCTTGTATCAATTAAAATATTACCCGATACAGTAGGTATCTCCTGATAAAATCGATCCAGTACCAGACTAAGAGATCTAGTTAAATCGTCTCTGAATGAAGATGAATTTTGATCCAAAGCCTCTTGGAAACTTTCGAAATCACTCATCCACTTTTTTGCAAACGTCGGGTTCACAATATCGGTCTGAATTTTTGTTTACCAGTGTAAGTTGGTAACCAGATAATTTCAATTATAACCTTTCAACTACTAAGTAAATGAAAACAACAGCAACAGAAAGAAAGAACTCTATTGCAAGTACTCTAGAACGAACTTTCTGAAACTCATTTAGGATTCAAGCTTTTTTTATTTACGAAATATTTTTTTGTAATTCTTTGAAATAATTATTGGAAAAAAAAAACCAAAATCATAAAGAATTAGTGACGCTTGATTGCCATACATTTTAATTTTCAAGAATTACAAAAAAAAATATTTCAATTAACATAATGGCAAATAAGCTGAAAAAAAATTACCTTGTTTAAAACAATAATGAAAGGCAACTTGGTACGATACAAAATCGAACATGCATAAACCATATTCGACATAAATGTTGTTGGATTAGTAGCACGTACGGAATCAACAACGAATACGATCATTGTTGGAAACGAAGATGCTAATAAATCTGTCATAATGGTTCCCGAAGCCGACCATACAAAAGCTTCAATTTGACCGGGAGTATCTAGTAAACAATAAGAGCATTGTTCTAATCGAGCTTTTATGATATCTACAACCTGAAATCCATTTAATTTTGATGCTGCAATAAACTAATGAGTTTACAGTTAATAAACTATGATGACTTGGTAAATGAGCAACATACTCAGAACAACAAAAATATCAGGAACATATTAAAAATATACTATCGAAAAAATTTTTTAACGTAAAAATACATAAAAATTCATTTTAACATCCTTTATTATCAAACGCTTAGAGAAAATCTGAAAACTAATTAATAATGGTTTAAAAAACTTTCAAAAGAAGAAAAATAAGAACCTGATCAAATTTGGTGCACATAAGATTTAAACTTGTCATGATAGCCCCGTTTGGACCTAACTGATATTCATTCATTACTTGTTTATATTTCACCGTATCCCGGATATCAATATTTACGGGGTATGGAACCGTCGTAACAGCTGGATCCAAATTCACCAAATACGGTGGAGTATTTTTTTGATGTAAAACTGACGAAACACGCTAAAACAAAACAAAAGTAACATTACAATATTGAAGAAAATGCACTAACTGCAGAAGTGAAATATATATATTGAGCCATGTACATGAAGTCAAGAAATGAAAAAATGACTGCACATTCTTTTTGTAGTTACTTTGTAAACAAAACATAAAATAGTTGCAGAACAAATACGCATTTTTATTACAATGGAAATATAGGCCTCTGTAAAAAATAACAGAAGAAAACTTCGAGCATTATTACTAATTAATATGAAAAGTGACAAGCCCGCTACTGCTGTCAACCACATTAGTTGTAAGAGCAATCTGAACAAACCTGAACAAAAGTGCTCTTCCCTGAACCTGCCATTCCCAAAACAATTATAGCAGCGCTGTTGCTACTAGCAGTAGATGAAGCTGAGCAAGAAGCAGACATTATTTCCGCTTTAAAAATTAATCCAATCAACTTTATTGAAACCAAAACGCTTCCCTCTTAATCTAAAAATATTAACAATATACTATTGAGCCATATCAGTCTTATTACTCGACAAAAACTACAGGTATACCAAATTAAGACCATATACACTCAAAGAAAGCCAATAGAGTACAAAGCAAAAAAATAAAAAACTTTAACTTATGAATAATGCCGAAATCACGTGTCCTCATCACTTTCAAAGTTTTCCATTGCGATAATGTAAAGAAATATAAAAAATTCATCTATTATTTGAAATAATGCGGCAGCATTACTACTATGCAAACTTTATTCGCTTAAAAATGACCATCACAACTGACTTCAAATATTTTCACTTTTTGTAATAAAACTGTTTGCATTCTGATGTCTCTGACACCATCTACCAGTCATCACACAGAAATAATGACTATTTAAATATCTGCAGATTAAAAGAAGATAAAATTTAAAGATAATAAATCAGCGCTATCAAGAAAATTTCACATCCATTAACGACACTACTGAGTCATCAATTTTTTTGAAATTAAAATGCTAAGAATGCAATAAGAAAAAACTCTGGCCTTGCTGAACATTCATAACTATTTTGAAATTCAGTAGTAAGAATTAATTAGTGTACAGAAAATATCACAAAGAGAAGGCATTAAAAACACTTTTGTTAGTTTGGAAAAAAATAAAATTACTTAAAATGAATGACTTTACAAAAATTTTGTAAACTAATAACACAATAAAAGTATTACTACTCACTTCTAACTTAAATAATATTGCTAATATTTAAAAGTTAAACTAGATAAAAATAATGCAGCAGGTACCTACTAACTTAAATACTACCAGAACTGCTTCATGCAAACACAAATCTAGAGATAAAAAACCAACAAAGATCACCTAAAACGCAGGAAGTAAAAAATGTGAAAAAAATTGTTTGGTATGTAATGAGAAAACTTTGATTCTATCATTTCAACTATTGCATTATGTATATTAAATGCTTTTTAGTCTAATTCTCTTCTATGCACATACTAACTTTGCAATCAAATTTGCGAAATTTGACGTTTGAATTCAATTATTGGTGCAAATATTTTGATGTGGTTTGTTGAAAATTACTAGTATGGGTTTGATTTAGATCAGCTCATAAACCAGATCAAAAAATAGTGAACAGATTTTTGGACACTTTAATTTGTGTTAGTGGGTACGCAAATTTGATTGCAGAATAAAATTTGGAGAATGTCATCGAAAATCTGAAATGAGCGCTGGCTTTGTGACTGCTTCAGGCAAAGGTATAACAGTAAGTGAAAAAGCACTTGAAAAGGCTCGAGAACTTTTCAGACTTCTCGATAATGAAGATTCAGCGCATGGCATTGAAGAAAACGCTCAAGGAACTAGCTTCAAGGCTTTGTATGTGGTCCCTAACTTTATTTGGTAGTGACTGAATAAAAAGAAATTTATGCACTTTTTGTATTTATTACTTTTCGATAGGTTAAAGTTGCTGCCATTGGGCATACTCAAGCTTTAATAGATATAAATCACTGTTTCAGTTTCTCTTCTAAGTTAAAATTCTCTACAGTTTTATTTTATCAAAATATAGGATTTGCAAAATAATTGAAGATTAGAACATTTTATTGTGTTCAAAAAAAATTTTCACGCATTCAGAGTCGTGTATTTTATTTCTTCCAGAAAATCATCACCTTTACCATCACTTTGCTATTCACCACAGAGAAGTTCAAAGCGAATTGCATCGACATTCAAGTCGCCTGTAGTCAAAAATCCAGAGTTTGATGAAGATAAAAGTTTATTAGATTTGCATCTTATGTTTTCTGAATACTTTATGTGGAGGAGTTACTAATTTGGTTATTAAGGATTCTTTTCCATTTTATTTGCTATGAAAATTTTGTTCTAATAATTGAGCCTGATTCAGCTGGTTGCACTAGTAACATCAGTTCACCAGTAAGAAAAACTGTGATAGAATCCGAACCTTCAACTCCTAAAAGATTAAAAAGTAAACATTTACAAAATCGTTGTTTTTGAAAATATAGTAATTGTTAGATATAATTACTTCATTTAATTATCTCGGTTTTCGAACATCTGAAGTATACTTGCTTATAAAAATAAAAGGTTGGTGAATAATGAAAATTATCTGAAAGCAGGCAAAAGTGTTTTAGATGCTGCGTGTAGTGAAACTAGAAATGTCACGCCGATCAAGTTATTAACACCTTATTGTAAAAATTGGAGATTGTGCATCAAAATTACTTCTGTTGACGAGGCATTTTTTTTTCTTAGCAATCAGTTTTTCTTTATTTATACTTCGTTCTCAGAATTGAATTTTTAATTGTTTTCGTTTCAGTTGAGGTTTTATCGTGGCAGCCATATGTTTTCATTTATCGCTGTTGATGAAAGTGGCGTAGAAATTCGTTTCAGTGCCTTTGGAGATGTCGCTTGCAAAACTGCTACTTTGATTCATGTAGAACATGTTAGTTTATATTGATTCACTCTGGTTAAAATTGACAAATAATTTTAATTTGAAGGCAATAAATAATATGCACATTTTAAAGATGTATTATATTACACGCGCTTCCGTTAAAATGACCAACAGGAAATATAACCGAAATCAGCATGATATGGAAGTGGTACTTCAGCAAGACACTGAGGTGAAAACTTTCGAAAATTTATATCATTTAGTAAAGAAATCATAATTTATTAGAAATTTAAAATCATAGCTTATCGTGCCTTCATTAATTTGATTGAGGCGCCATATTATTTGTTGATCATGTGTTTCAGATCGCCGAATGTACAGATCGACCGCTTATTTTGTCACCAAAAGTTAATTTTGAATTCGTACACATTCAAAATTTGCAAAATTTTGTCGATATGGAAATAGGTTCCTACTAACTTTTCTGCCAATTGTGGAAGATTTTGCATTAATGTTTGGATTTGTTTTCAACATTGTTCTTGCAATTTTTTCGTTCAAAGGGCAGATAATAGGAAACGAATAGTGCTTTTATTTTGTTACTGTTATTTTGAATATGTTTATTATATATTGAAATGCTTACTATTAAAAATTTATTACTTTATTTTAACTTCATATTTGTGTGATAAGCTTATACCGTGCTGTGTTTAGATGTATTAGGAATTATAATTGGTATCAGTGAAATGAAACAATTAAGTTCCAAAAAAGGAGAAGAATTGCAAAAGCGAGAAATACAAATTGTTGATAATAGTGGTTACTATGTTAATATATCTTTATGGGGCCAGAAAGCTATCTCATTTTCGGAGAAGCATTATCAGCAGATATTGGCCGCCAAAGGATTGCTTGTACGTTGTTTTCAAGGTAGTAATGTTTCATTCTTTTCAATAATAGTTGGAATAAATAATGAAAAGATACTGTAAATATAATTATGTTGAAAAATGAACAAATTTTTTGACGAGTTTCGTCTTATCAGTGTTTATTTTCAAAGTTGCAGATTCCTTATCGTTAGTTTCATTATCTAGTAGTAAATTGTTACTCGATCCACACTTTATGGAAGCAGATAGGTTACGATTCTGGTATGCTGAAAATCGAAATAAAACATTTAATCCGGTGTCAACAAATCATATTCTCTCATGTAAGCTTGTCTTTGTCATCCAACGTTTGATATTTTAAGTTCACAAAGTTGTCAACTGTATTATTCACGAAAAGGGGTAGGAGGTTTAATTAAATCGTATTTTAGGGAGCAGAATAATATGTTAGCACTTTTTTCAGTTCATGAGCACAAATGGATTGGACAGCTGAAATTTTCGGTTAGTGGACAGTGTTTCAATGTAACTGCAATGATTACCTCAATTTTCACAGAAAATGCCGTATACAAGGTATAGAAATTTGATACTGAAACTTTCTTATGAAATAAAAAAGATCGGATTTTGCAAAAATCTAATGGAACAATTTTTATTAGGAAAAGAAAGTAAGAATGTTGGGATTTCATAGCAGATAGTTTTAAGGGCTGTATAAGTTGCAAGAAAAAGTTGTTGGTTGAAAAAGATGGTGACTCATATATATGTTCAAAATGCGGCATATGCAATGAATACAAGTACTGCTACACATTACGTGCAAGTTTTGATCTTGATAATAATGTGTGAATTTTTTCCAAGTGCATTTTTTTCATTGCACTTTTTATTTCTTACTTAGTGCCTTTTTTGGCTGATTTTTGATTATTTAATTAATTAGTTTTCATGCATGAACAGCTTGGCTTTCAAATTCAAGGTCAGTGCTTGTTTTTCCAATAGCGCTGTCTATTTAAGCCAAAATAAAAATCAGAATTATTATGATTCTTTGCAGATGGAGTTGGTCGATTTTACAGGTGCTGCATATGTTACTGTATTCGATGATTGCGCTCAAAAACTGATAGGGGAAGAGGCAGATGAAGTTGCCAAGTTTTTAAAATTTAACGAAGAGAAATATCATTCATGCTTTAAGAAGGTTCTTTTCAAGCCATATATTTTTCGGCTTGATACGAAGAAAAGAGGAAACAGAGATTCTTCGGCAGTGTCAATGAAATTAAAGGAACCATTTTTTTGGTTAGTGAAAGACCTGACTCCCACGCCTTTTGATAGCTATTGCACATTTTTGCAGCAGTCTTTTGAAAATGCTTGCAGTCGAACAGCTGTGCGAAAATGAGGACAAAGTTATTATGATTCCATGCCAGTAAAATCATGAAAACTGAACGTGTACGTTGTATATCTAAATGAACAAAAAAAAATGTGATAAGGTTTTATACAGCAAAGTGAAACAGCACTTCATATGTTTATTTTTTCTCATGTGTTAACAATGATATCGAATTTTCATAAACTGATATCATCGTTAGGACTTTTTTATCATCAAAATTATGTATGTATATTTTGATACACTGTTTAAATTGGAATGTAAATAAAAACATCGTACTTCTGCTAATTAAATACAAATTCTTAAAACACAATTATAGATTTAGCACGAATGAGAAAGGATTGTAACTAATGATCTAGACAATATTTATGTGGTCATAGTGCTGATCCGAAATTCCCAATCACTTGCAACAGAACAGAAACGACTTTGGATTAGACTTGAAAGCTCATTCTCGCTATATATGCATTGACCAACTGCTGCGTTGTAGATTTTGCGTCCCTGTAAATACTTAAGTAGATTCATATGCACAATTTTCTCATGAGCTTATTCTGGTAGAAGCAGTTTTTAATGAGAGATTTAGTGGAACTCTATAAAATTATGCTAACCATGCGAGACCATTCTTGGTGAGCGCCTTGCAAATGACACTTCATAAGGCGTAATCCCTGAATAAAGATTCATGCGAATGGTTGCTCGATGTCATCATATTATGATACAAGTTTTAAACTATTAAAGTATTTTTGAAGCACAAATATCCCTCTGAAACTTATGGCGAAGCGATGAAATTATGAGTGGAGTATTCAATAATTTATTTCTTCTAATACTAGTCGAAGGTACAAAAGTTTGACGTGATGCTTTACCTTAAGGGAATCAAGGCAGAGTGTAGCAGAACCCATGGGACGCAATTCGCCAATTTTCGTCCATCGCCAGCTTTGATAACGATTTCCTTTACGGCAGTGATCAACTGTTATGCGATTTCCACGTATTAAACGGCCATTAGTGGATTCAGCGGTGAGGCATAGATTTGTGTTATATAGTACTATCTGGAAATAATAAAATAAACAGATTTCAAGCCTTAAATAGATATTACTTGCCAGAGAGAAGTCTTCATTGTAAAATTCAATCTTAAACTGTCCAAAGATTGAAACAACACTACTCATTTGGTTTTGAAATGATTCATTTTTATGATATATATATACTTAGTAAACAGTTTGTTTTTTATCACCCGTAAATGTCTTAAGATTTAGTGATATAATCAGTAATTATCAAGAACCCTACTTACATTGTATTTCGCGATATTTTGTTCACGGAGCATGCTAGACTTCTTTATATCCGCTAATGTGGGATGATTGTCTGGCAGTAACTCTGGATATATATTTTGAAGATACCATGAAAAAGGCTTACAGTGTAACTTTTGACGTAGTGCTTTCATTTCTGTTAAATCGCCAATATCCATGTTTCGCAGATAAGGTTTAGCTGCGTAAAACTGATCCTGAAAAGGATTGAATCGTAAGTTTTGCTTGTTTAAGTGAAAACAATTAATGGTAATTTATTAAAAAATAATTGACTTGAACTAGTATATCACTGGAAAAAGCTTAGATTTGGTTAAATGTGGAATTTAGATAATTTGCTTCACGTTATAACTTACAATGTAATTGTCGAGCCATATATTTGCAGCTCGAGCAGCATTTCGACTCATCGAATCAACACCTAAACCGTAAGGACGTCGTGGACGAAATATATGGCCCACTCGACTACATGGAATAATTTCTAAACGACCACCGCACATCCAAATCTAAAAGCAAGTTATTTTATGCTTTTGCACATTATGCATTGTTCAAAACATTGGTAAGTAAATTATTTATGCAATCATTTTATTAAAAAAGCTTAAGCATAAAATAATACTATACTACTATACTAATACCATACTAACTAATAACTATACTTATAACTATAGTATACTAATAGATATATCTAGACAAGTATATATGGAAATTTTTTGGTAAATATTTTTGTTAATAAGCTTAAAAAATATTTCAATAAGCACAGGTCATATTACCCTGAAAGAAAATTCCACATTTTCTGCCCCCCAAATTTCCATTCCTCTATCATATTGTCCAATTTCTTTGAAATATTCTCTATCAATTGCAAATAAACCGCCAGCCATTGTTGCAGACGCTAATGGTTGTACATAATGTTTAGGTTCAAGGAAATATGATGATGGAAAGTAATCCCACTTAAATGTTAGTGACCAAGTGAAACCACCTTTGCATACTGGTGATGCAACATACTTCAAAGTATCAGCATCGATGATATCAATAACTGGACAAGTAACTCTGAAAAACTTGGTTAATTATTTTTTTTGCGAATTACAAACTTTTCACTGATATATTGATATGATTAGATCACTTCATCAAATGTTTTCATTTCAGTTATGCCGACATAATTATATCAAATTACTTGCATAACAGTATAATACTACAGCATAAATATCTGAAAGTTTTAAAAAAATACATCATTTATCGTTAGCATTATACCAAAAATAGAAAAAACGATAAAACTTATCGAATAAATTTTCGAAATTTTCAGTTTTTATCTTGTGATTAGTGACACTTTATTGCTTAGTAACCATAACAGCAAATGCTTAGTCTAATTTATATCATGAGGATTCAGAGTGTGAATTCTAATGCGTAGAATACTAACGTGTGTTTATCAGCAGCGATTTGTGCTAACAAAGGTTCTAGCCATCGTTCATTAACCTCACAGTGACTGTCAAGAAATACTAGTACCTCTCCAGTGGCATGTTCTGCACCAAATATCCGTGCTCTTATCAGTCCTTCATTACGTTTTGTACGTAACATTTTCACATTTTCATTATTCCAATTTTCGTGTGCATAAGCATTTATCGTTGATTCGGACAACTTGTCTACAAATGTAAAAGTTCATTAAGTTGAAAAATTATTAGTTAACAGTAATATTTGCTTTCTTTTTGGTCTTCACGTAAATCACGTAAACTCAAAAGAAATGATTCTTTGATTAAATTATTATACAAACTACATTCTTTACTCATGAATATCGAAGTGCTAGGAGACAAGTGCAAGTTTTGATAATCAAGTTTTAAAAAAGTGTATAATAATACAAACAGTATCTTTTATCTATGCGTGCTTCTATTTTTTTTTGCTCTTATCATTTGAAAGACATATGCTTTGAATCATTGTGTCAAATGTTGTAAAATCATCGTGATAAGTTTTATAATAAAGTTAAGCTGGTCAAACCGATATCGCTATAATCATCCACAAGAAGTATTTCTTCTATTAGTTTTGCTGGCGTTCTATCCAGTATGCTGTTAACCATGCGAATTAAAGCTGATGGAGCTTCATTGTAATAACAAATGATAATACTTGCTTTAGGTAATTCTTCTGGATAGCTTTCATTAAAGCATCTAAAAAATATTCCTTACTTATTCATAAATGCTTTTAATTTAACATTTATAATATGACAAATTTGTTGTTAATGATAGCTATTCGTAACACAAATTATAATGTTTATGACATTTCATACACTTCTGATGATCGTTGATTTCTGTTGTCTTTGATTCATATATAGTATGCAAATACTCATATTTGGCCTAACTTTTCTGCATAAACTTCGGTAATGGCAAATAATTTTTAATTGCACCCTAGCAAACAAGTTTGAAAATGAAATCATAGACTTACAGATGGTGCCGAGTATCAGGAATTTTTCGTCGAGGTCCAATTCTTTTGCTTAGTAATTCATTGAAAGCATATTTTTCATAACCTTGCTCACGTTGTTGCTTGAAATTTAGAGTTTATTAAGTACTAGAAAAAGCTTGCATGCAAGTAATACTTCATTGTTATACTTACCACAGATTATATTTCTACAGTAGTCATTATTAATGCATCTGATCTAATGTGCTAAATTTCCAGTAAAGTTAAGTATAAAACTGATAAGTATTTAGATTGAATATGCTACAGATAAAGGTGATAAAAATCAAATGTACTTGTTCTTGTTGATTATTGATGACAGATAATTTCATGAGATCAACTTCTGGCGCTTTGTTGAGAGAAAATTGTTCTTCTGGCATTTCTTTCCATAATTTGTTAATGCTATTGGTCTTATTAATATTATTATTATTAGTATTATCATTATTATCTTCACTTTTATAACTTTCTTCATAATTAAAATCATTATTCATATTTTTATCAGAATTTTCAGAAAATGTAGACGGTGTCTGATGAGTGCTTGTAGCTCCGTTAACAAATGAACGGTAATGATGATGTAAAGACACTGTTCCCGTAACTGATTCATGGAGAAATCCCGAATATGACACCATAAAAAATAACCATAACAAAGATGCAGCAACTATCACCGCAATACAGTTTGTGTTCATGCGCATTTTTTGAGTACAAATATAAAAGCTGAAACAAACACAAAAGTGAGTCAAAATTAATTAGCAAGCCTAATTCATACAGTTAATAAATGACTTTCCCATAATTTGCATAATGTACAAATTTCATTGCTTAACGATTACTTGTATTAACTTTTGAAAGCACAATAAAATATGAAATGATAATAGTAGTAAGTGTAGTATAAGTTACATATTACTAAGGAAATGTTTCTAAAACAATTAACTGATATGAGAGCAAGAAAGTAGCAGAAAAAATGCACTCCACCATAAAATTCACTATCTTTGAATCATTATTGAGTTAAAATTAAATCCAAAATTCTCCTAAATTAAATCCAAAATTCTCCTACATTAATTTAAATATTATATCAACGAAGAAATAATTCTGTTCAATTTATCTAACTTTTCCATTTTCAGAGTAACATATGTTAATTTGATTAGCTGTTTTCATGCTTTTTCTATAGTTATAGTTTGATGCGAGAAGCTTTGGCTAAAATATTATTTTTTTAATAAAATACATTAAAGATAAAAAT